TGCCTCCAGCTCCAGCCTCCTCGGAACTAGCACCTCCTGTGCAAGTACCTCCTGCTCCCACACCCCCAGAATTAGCACCTCCAGTGCCAGCACCTCCAACTCCAGCACCCCCAAAAATGGCACCTCCAACGCCAGCACCTCCAGCTCCACCACCCCCAGAACTAGCACCTCCAGCGCCTGCACCTCTAGCTCCACCACCCCTCGAACTAGCACCTCCAGTGCCAGCACTCTAGCTCCAGCACCCCTCAGAAGAGCACACCTAGAACGAATATCTCCATTGGCAGCACCTCCAGCTCCAACACCCCCGGAGTCCACAGTAACCTGTCGCGGAAGTGCCGAAGGCAGCTGAGGGGACTGTGAGGAGGACTGCGGGGAGGGAGACGCTACCTGACGCGCGACTGAGGGTAGAAGGGTAGACGGGGCACAACCAGGGGGGGCGGGGGTACCGGAGGAGCGGGAGCAGGAGGAGGAGTGGGGCTGAGGAAAAGAGGAGGGGGGGGAACCAGGAGACCTCGACAAGGTTACCGGGTATAGGAAGACACAAACTCATCAAACTGGATGTCACGGGAGTCGAGGAACTAGTGGAGGGGTGGGTGGTAAAACTCAAAGTCAGAGGAGTCCACTGGGAAACCAAGGAAGATGCAGGGGATGGCGCGAACCGAGAGCTTATCCTCAGAGGTGTCACGAACAAGCGCAAGGAAGCCCCAGACATGAAACTCCGACGCAACACAATGGGACCCGGTCCAAAGACTGGTCGGTAAAGCCCCTGATCATGAGACACGAGGCCACAGGTTCAGCTGGTGGGAGGCGTAGCAAACTGCGTAGGGCCACGGAAAATGGGGCGCACTCACATGGATCATGAAAGTGCGGGCGATATCCATGACCAAGCCAATGCGACGCTCAACAACCCCATTCTGTTGTGGTGACTCTAGAAGCGTCCAAGACTGTGTGATGCCCTGCTCGCCGCAGAACCTTGCAAGTACGCCTGGGCGCAACTCACCCTCACGGTCAGAGTGGAGACAACGGACATGACTACTACGAGTGCCCTCAGTGGCCAGAAGCCACCGGATCAACAAAGAAGTCACCTCAGACTTCTTCGCAAGAGGAAATATTGTGGTGTACCTGGAGTAGCCGTCAACGATCACGACAAAGAACCGCTCCCGCTCGGTCCTAGCATGAGCGGCTAGGCCCCAGACGTCCAAGTGGAGGGTCTGGAAGGGAGCGGTGGCCGGACGAAGGGAGGAGGAGTGAGGGGTGGCGCACAACCGACCCTCGATGCAAGGAGTGCACGGCGGCGCAGTCGAACGATGGAGCGACTCTAAGACACGCGGGAGACCGGATACAAGACGCTGGCTAGCCATGTTGCGGAGGCGTGGGAGGGACGGGTGACCTAGACGGTGGTGCTGCAAGACTATCGGGTGAAAGACTGACCGACAAGAGCGAAAACGCACCGACGAGACCAGACACAGCGACCTGAGTGGTGACAGCAACCTGGGGGGATGTAGTCACCTGACCGGAATCTGCCACCTGGGGGGACGTAGTGTGCATAACGAAGAAACCTGAGTGGGGCTTCGTGGTGAACGGGCCAAGAAGTGCCTCAGTGTAAGCGTCCGTACAGATCGCCGTCCTCCCGTGTGCAGGAAAAGCAACTGTGATCCCACGGTCCCGAAGGTATCCAACACTCACCAAGTTTCGAGAGAATGAGGGGATGTAGAGACCAATGAGGAAACCATAAGGGAGAGCCAGGCACGGGAGAGTGGTCGAGCTGCGAGCGAGTGGTGGTCCTGAAGTAGGATCAGCCATGGCAACTGGGACTGGAGCCAAAAGAGGTGTGACAGTGGTGTGGTCGCGGAAGAAGCAGTGAGATGTGCTTGAGTCCAGTATGAAGGAGAGTGACACGACAACAATCGTCACGTCTGGACTTGTGACTACACAAGCACCTACACAAGAGGCACAAGTACCTACACTAGCAACGGGCAAAGGTCCTAAGCTAGGTACACGCAAGCCAAGAGACCCATACGTGACAGAATAAGCAGCATCCATAGACATATCAAACACAGGGTAACCACAACGAGATAGACCGGGCCAGATCGGTGGCCTCGACTCAGACCCAAAACGCTCACGGTAAAGGTCGCCGAGGTGACTATAGCAGCGGTGTGTAGAGTGGTCAGGACGCCAACACGTAGTGGCAGCACCAAGCCCAGTTAGGATCCGATTTGGCAGGGGCTGACGTCGCGACCACGGCGTCGAGCCCCCCAACTGGCTTGGCCACTGCTGCAGCCAACGCTACTCGAACCACCAGGCCCCCACGGCTGCTGAGGGCGCCACTACTGCTGAGGGTGCCACTACTGCTGAGGGCGCCACTGCTGCTGAGGGTGCCACTGCTGCTGAGGTTCTCACTGTTGAAACTGCAGCTGCTGCTGTCCCTGCTGCTGGAGAACTCTAGTGGACGCCATAGTAAAGGCTAGCAGGGTGCAGGGGCGGAATGCTAAGAGTGCTTGGAGCTAGGAGCGAGGAGTGGAAACAACTAGGAGCGCCAGGTGAAACTAGGCGAGGAACGGCCGGAGCACGGAGCAAACTGAGCTGGGAGCCAGGAGCGAGAACAGCTAGGAAAGCGCCAGGTGATACTAGGCAAGGAACGGCTGGAGCTCAGAGCAAACTGAGTTAGAAGTGACTGGAACGAGGAATGACTGGAGTGAGGCATGGCCGGAGCAAGAAACGTCAGGCTAGAAAGTACGGGCTCGAGGAGCGGCAGGAGCGAGGAGCGAGAAGAACTAGGAGTTGCGGAGATAACTGCTGCAACGGGAGCTAGACTACGGGCTAGGCACATGTGCTCGTGTGATCTCTGCGTTCGTTGGTCCTTAGTCGTTTTCCTAGTGCACACACCGCTTGCTAGTCCACGGGGAGAATTGGCAAGAGTTTCACTAGAGAAAGTTGACAATAATGGTACAATGAAGTTGGCATGGCAAGACTACATCAGAGCTAGCATTCAGGTCGGTCGACTGCCAGCGCAGCATGGTTGACCGCGTTCCAGCACGACTTGGTCGACTGCGCTCCAGCAGTGCAAAGTCGACGACGTGCCAACGTCGCAGGTCGACGGCGTGCCAGCGCTGCTCATGCAGAACAGCAGCGCACCTGCTTCGCAGGTGCTCGCAGATGATTGGCGGGCTGAGCCTCGTCACCTGCACAACGCACACACCAAGTCAACCTGGCGCTGATGACTGCTTCTGATCAGCCACGTCGACCTCGGGATACCACCACCGAGGTCGGGCTCGCCAACTTCGTCTAGGCGACCGTCGCACTCCTCCGCAGAACCTCGTCACCCAGGTAACCTACTCGACCGGGCAACCACGTCGACCAGCTGCCCCCGTACGTGCCCGTCAACCTCCCAAGTCCACGGCCACCTCCAAGTCGACCTCACCAGGTCGACCACGCTCCTGGTCGACCAACTCCAGGTCGACGTCACTTCTGGTCGACTAGCTCCACGTCGACCAGCAGTCCTGGTCGACCAGCTTCATGTTGACCAGCGCAGTTGTCGGCCGACCTGAAGTCGGCGTCACGAAGTTGACGCCAAGCTACTCGACGCCCAAATGCTCGGCGTCCTGAGTCGAGGTCGACGTCGGCCCCTCCTTCGTCGACCACAAGGTCAGGTCGACCACCAGTAGGTCGACCAGCAATCCGTCAGCTGACCACCGAAGTCAGCTTCCCCAAGTTAACGTCAACAAGTTGACGTCCTCCGCAGGTCGACTTCCCAGGTCGACCTCCTTGAAGTCGGCGCCACCCTGAAGTTGGCGCCCGTACAGTGGCCCCCGTGCAGGTCGACCTCCTCGTCAACCAGCTCGCCAACTGCTGTAGGTCGGCTGCTCCCCTCACACCCGAACACGAAGTCGGCTCCGCCCAAGCGAGGACGGGGCCAACACACAACTCCTGTTGACAGGAGCGCCATGTGAAACTAGGCAAGGAGCGGTCGCAGCACGGAGCGAGAACAACCAGGAGCGCCAGGGTACACTAGGACTAGGAGTAGCGGCCTCCAGCGGCGGTGGAACGGTGAACCCAATGAAGGAACGGTAGGGAACGGGAATACCGACGATGAGAAAGCCCGAGAAGGAGGTGTGGGCGGCTAGGAGGAGGTGTGGGCGGCTAGGAGAAGGTGTGGGCGGCTAGGAGGAGGTGTGGGCGGTTAGGAGGAGGTGTGGGCGGCTAGGAAGATACATGAGGCGCGTGCATGTCTGGCCAGGGGCGCGCGTTCCTGGCTGGGGTGCACGTTCCTGGGCAGGGGCGCGCGTTCCTGGCTAGGGTGCACGTTCCTGGGCAGGGGCGCGCGCTGCTATGCCCGGGTGGCGCGAGCTGCTCTGCATGGACGACGCGACGGGCAGGGGCAAGGCGCATGGGCGACGGCTAGGGCAGGGCGCATGGGCGACGGCTAGGGCAGGGCGCACGGGCGACGCGACGGGCTGGGGCAGGGCGCACGGGCGACGCGACGGGCTGGGGCAGGGCACACGGGCTCTTTACCCTAGTGGGAGACGAAGGGAGGCACAACTTGGTGCTCAGAGCAAAAAACGGAAAAGGGGTGTTCCGAGAATTGAACTCAGGACCTCTCGCACCCTAAGCGAGAATCATGCCACTAGACCAAACACCCGCGCTCCTTTAGCGTCATTTATGTATCATTCCTAGTTCACAAACATATTATTTTGATACTATTGGTACTAGTTGCCATTCTTGTTGTTAAAATAACCTTGAATGTATCTTGGAGCCCACACTAGTTTGAAGAAGCATGAGAACATTCCCCATACGTCACCGTTGGCAACCTGAAATTGAAAAAGCATTAGCATACAGTACAGCAAGCCCAAGGCAGCAGCCTTCACTTAACTAGAACAATCTACAAACCCATAATTCAATCCACCATTCCAGTCACTGGAAATTTCCCAGAAACTCTTGAAGCCTGAGACACTCCCTCTTTTGGGAGGGCTCAGGAATTGGCTCCACACCGTCGCACCACATCATGTGCTGTAAGGGCCACGAGCAGCAATGGGGCCATTGGGGGTAGGAGGAGGCGGTGTGGGGGTGGTGACAAGAGCAGCTGCGTCTTCATCCCAGTCGGACTGGTACTCGGGTTCGGGCTCAGGTACGTACTGAGGCGCATGAGGCAGCAGTGCTTCTTGGGAGACTGCTGACAGCATCTTCATCTCCAAATCGTCCTCCACCACTAGGTTGCGAATGCCTTCATGCAGTGACACGAGCTCCTGTTGAGGATTAGGCAGGGAGGAAGGGTTTTGAGTCGATTCACAATGCAGCAGCACCTCTTGAGAGACTGCTGAGAAGCGCTTCATCTCCAGGTTGTCTTTAACAACTAGGTTGGGAATGCCCTCATGCAGTGATACAAGCTCCTGTCGAGGAAGAAGGGAGGAGAAGGCCAGGATGTGACTGATTAAGAGCTGCTTCCCGTGACTGGGATCAGTTCCTGTGATTGCAAGGGGGGGGTGGGGGGGGGGGGGGGGGGGGGAAGATCAGAATATGCACATGCAGATTATTCAGGGGGGTAAAGATACTAGTGAGAGCTGCTTCGTTTCAAGGTCTCACTCTCCAATATCGGCAAGTGTGCAAGAAATGAGGGCTGTTTCATTGCATACGCAGTGATCCACCCATATCATAAGGAAGACGGAAGGGTAAGCGATTGGGGGGCGCATAAAACTGTGAAGTTACGAAAATCGGATTCCACAACCCATATTGTGGAATCTGTCATGCTGTTCCACAATAGCTTGTTATGAAGAGAAGTGGGGAGAGTGATGGGGCGGAACACTGATGACAAGAGTGGCAGGATGGGAGGATGTGGCCGACTCAGGGGGTTGAGGGGGAGAGCTTTTGTCAGGAATGTGGAAATCATCAGATGACAAGGATGGCTCAGCCAAGTGGCAGTACAGGGATGCATTGCAAGAAGACTTACACCAGCATTGTTCCGTGCTGATTGAGCGATGACGTCGAGTGCCAGGATGGGGAAGGGGTTCTCAATGAGCACTCCAACTTCCTCGATGCAGAAAAAGATGGCCGCACACGTGGCAGTCACGGGGATGGTGAGCCAGCCGAGGGGGTCCCACAGAGCGAAAGGCAGGAACATGTGGTAGAGGACCAGGAAACGCGAGGTGAGGCGCGTGTAGGAGAGCGGGATGGGCGTCTTGAAGAGACGCTCGCTGCCTCCGATGTCATCCGCGAATGTCGTGAAGTTGGCCTCCTGGAGAATGCAGGGAGTAAGATTAGAGGGATGGGATGATTCGTCAAGGAAATGAAGAGCAATACGGAGCTAACTCTGGCTCCAGATAACCTGATTCAGTCCACCAAAAAAATTGGGAATCATCTGGCTCCGCCCAGAGGTTCATTGATTATTTGCTTCAGAAAACCAGAGATTTGGGAATTATCTGCTTCAGACAACCAGAGATTTGGGTATTATCTGCTTCAGCCCACCAAAGGTGCAGTGGTCACCCAGCTTCAATGCACGGGAGAGGGTCGTGCCACTGTGCTCCCAAACTAGTTGTGCATTTGTTGATGGGACTCTGGAGCTCGTTAAAAGTTCAATACCATAGCCGCTTCTGTATGTTAAACTCTGGATGTGAGCATATTCTGCGGATCTCCAAAAACGAGTTCTCTTTTTGAAAGCATTACTAAACAGACGAGTACAAATGCGGGACTCACCATGGCCACGCGGTGCACTGGCTCCATGTGGCACGAGCGCATGCACTCCGACATCATCTGCAGCACATAGTTGGGTCTGTGGGTTGCCCCCAGAATCCCCGCAATCTCCTCGTCGGACAGAGTGGTGAATTGCTGCAAGGAACGTGAACAAGTCATACAATCAACGTCAAAACCAATCAGATGAACATTGCAATTCCAAAGTGCAAAAATGAGTAAGACGAGTGCTACTTACACGAAGGTCTTCCTCCAGAGAGCCCTCTTGCAGAAAGTGGTGCTTGTAGGTAAGCGCGAACGCCTGCAGGTGGCGGATAAACTGAGCGCGCTTGGGGTACTCGTACGTGTACTGGTCGCGAGCCATGTACGACAGCGCCTGTCGCGTGATGTCGCGCGTGCGATTCAGCATGAGCCCCCACATCTTGCGAGCCTGCAAGATGAACGGAACGAATCGACGCGACGCGTAAGTGTCAAAGTTTGAAGTCGGCAAGTAACCAATCCAACAGAAGAGTCTCCGGATTTCAATGCTCACACATCGTCACGCGATAGCAGGCAACTGTAACGAAAATGAAGGCTGATCTTTCAAACACACCTCGTCGAAACGGCCATAGCTGGCATTGGTCCGGAAGACGAGGAGGAAGGAGAGAGCAGGTGCCGTGAGGGTGTACGGGAGGTTGGACATGTGCAGCACGGGAGCCCACTCCGGCAATGCACCCATCGTGACCAGCTCATTCCACCCAACCACACCAGCTGCGATTCCAGTCATCACGGAAACTGCGGGTCCGAGCGCGCCGATAACCTTAGACGTAAGCATGGACTTCATGTGACGGAAGTACCGTCCGCTAGATTTGTGTTTCTGGAGACAACAAGGTGTTCATGGAATTGAAAAATAATCATTTTTTAATAAGTTTTCTGTTGCCAGATGCTAGAAGCGGTTGCCAGATGCTAGAAAGAAACACGAAACGATGACGTATACACGGTTCGTCAGTGAACGTGAAGGAAAGCCAACGCACCTTCCAGTCATCATGGCCGAACACCACCCGTCGCAGCACCAATGCCTCGAACTTCTTCTCATCAATGGTGGTAACATCCACCAGATTCTTAGGAACCACTGCCTTCACCACCAGGGGTCCTCTGGCTTTCTTCCGCACAGTCTGAGATTTAGTGACAGCGACGCTATTCTTGCGGAGTGAAACACTTCTCAAGGATCCCTCAGTCCAGTCCTGCAGACCTGCAGCTTGAGCCTTCAGGCTGGTCTGAGCGGGAGACAGAAACATGGAGGTGCGTGATGCGACACTCGTCGCCGCCATTTTCGTCAAGGAGCTCAGTCACTGGCTAAAGAAATCGAGAGACGTGCTATTATTATCCCTGGACGTTCAGGAACGTGACTACTGGATGAAGATACGCGTTGGGGATTCCGAGTCCCGACGTTCGTGCGTCGGAATAAAAATTCCGAAGCAAATATGTGAATAATTGAAGCAGGTGCTTTACACCCTCTTGTCAGAAGGCTCTTGTTGCCGTTGGTGAAAACACACGGGAATGCCGCCATTCAAGAAGTGGGAGACCACACAGCGTGGTCTCAACTCAACTCAACTCAAATCTCGATCTTTCTACAGTAACTGGAACCAGGCAGTTTGCTTGAGCTGGAGTCAAGCAGAGCCGTTCGATTTGAGATGGAATGGTATGCAGACGATGGATCATCAGCTGATTCATGTGATCGAAGCGAGCTGATTGGCTACTTGATCAGCGCAAAGGAATGAGGTCACTGACAGGCTGAGCGAGTCTGGCGTCTGCTGACGGAATCAAAGAGGCGATTGATGTCCGCGTATCAGCTCGTGATCTGACCAGATGCATGACATGTCAGCTTAGCCTGCCATCAACACGGGGACTTGAGACTGGGGCTGCTAGCTGGCCAACCTCGATGTCACAAGCTAATCCACGTGGCATTGTCTCGGCTGGACCAAGGTTGATCACTTGCCACCCAAGTTTGCTGTAGGATCTGCTGGCGCACCCCTTTTCGTGCAGGCACTTTGATTTCGCCAGCACCTTTGAAACATCGCCCACCATCAGCCGATTTGTATGTGTACTTGGTTATGAATGAACTTGCAGAGTGCCCAGTAAAACGAATAACGAGAATGACTGATTACTGAATTAACATACAATGGAAGTGACGAGGCCTAAATAGGGGAAGTCCTAGCTAGGCGGAGAGGTTGGGCGAGGATGGCTCGGTGATGGTTGCGATTGGTGCGGAGGCGACTCGGGAGTCGTTCGGTGCGACGAAATAGGAAGGACGGGTTCGTCGCGTGACCCTTGGGATGGCCTCGATAACGAGTGCCTCAGTAAGGATTTGTAGATCCTTACATACTTGTTGATGCTTTGGTGTGGCGTGGTGTAACTTCAGCTGGTCTTCCCTCAGCTATTCTTGGAGCTCAAGCTTCATTATTCAATATAGCTCAGTTAGCTTTCCTGAAGCACAATGTACATGCTGGTAAGATTGAGCTAAAAATAGAGAAGGCATTGCTTCGAATCTATTGGAAACATGAGACAGTATCACACATTTAAGATAACATTTGTTCAAAAAGCCCTAAAAGGATCAACAATCTCTGGACAGACATACGACACCACTCTTCATCAGACAAAGCTGCTAGCAAGTGGTTAGAGAAATAGCAAACCGGCAAAAATGTGTTATAAAAGCTAATGGCATGATGGATGACGTTACCAATTTCAAATCAATTATTCAAGTACACGTCGCTCTACAACCAATATCTGGCAAAAAGAAAAATTCATACGAGGTTTTGACAAATGATACATCCTACTGAACATTTTAATCGCTGTACGGACCGCGCACAGCGATAGGGGTCACAGCAGGTGGTGGGGGAGGAGGGATGGGGGTCAGAGCCGCAGCGTCTTCATCCCAGTCCGACATATACTCAGGCTCGGGCTCAGCGACAAACTGAGGCGTCTGCAGCAGAGCCTCCTGCTTGCGGGCAGACAAATTCTTCATCTCGAGATCATCCTCGGCAACAAGGTTCCTGATACCCTCGTGCAGGGCAACGAGCTCCCCAGCGTTGTTGCGCGCCGACTGGGAGATGACGACAAGAGCGAGAATCGGGAAGGGATTCTCAATGAGCACTCCGACCTCCTCAATGCAGAAGAAAACGGCCGCACACGTGGCAGTCACGGGGATGGTGAGCCAGCCGAGGGGGTCCCACAGAGCGAAAGGCAGGAACATGTGGTAGAGGACGAGGAAGCGCGACGTGAGACGCGTGTAGGAGAGCGGGATGGGAGTCTTGAAGAGACGCTCGCTGCCTCCGATGTCATCCGCGAAAGTCGCGAAGTTGGCCTCCTGGAGAATTGCGGCATAGAGAACAGGAAGCACAGACGAATTGCCCAAATGAGACTGAGCCTCCTGAAACAGAACCTTCAAACATCCTCTATTCTCTTGTGTGTAGAAGCTCTGTCAGTAAGTGACACGCCGCACATTGTGAAACAGTCTTGAAGGGGTGATTCCTAACTGGCGGTTCATAAAACGTCTGGGTACTGACTTACCATGGCGAGGCGGTTGACAGGCTCCATGGTGCACGAGCGCATGCACTCTGACATCATCTGAAGCACGTAGTTGGGTCGGTGGGTGGCCCCAAGAACTCCCGCAATCTCCGCGTCAGTCAGACTGGTCAAATCCTGCATAGGGTACACGGGTCAGAGGGCAAGGCGGAAAAGCTTGATTCGACATTACGAACGGAAACGAGATGAGAAGCTACATTTAGTGTAGACATTGAACGACGATACAAAACTTTCCACTGGTAAAGGACGCAATCACGGCGGGTATCGGACAAAGTACTGAAATTACCCTGAGATCCTCCTCAAGCGAGCCCTCTTGGATGAAGTGGTGCTTGTAGGTAAGCGGGAACGCCTGCAGGTGGCGGATGAACTGAGCGCGCTTGGGGTACTCGTACGTGTACTGGTCGCGTGCCATGTACGATAGCGCCTGTCGCGTGATGTCGCGCGTGCGATTCAGCATGAGCCCCCACATCTTGCGAGCCTGCAGGCGGGATGAGCGCACGAAAAAAAAGGGAAAAAAAAGTCAGATATGTGTGACTGATGGGAGAATCACGGCGCAAGTAGGAATTGCGTCTCCCAGTTAGCAACACACGTTTCGACAATTTATCAGCCACATGGCACATATCCATATGCGTTTCAGGTCTCCCTCATGCTTACCTCATCGAAACGGCCGTAGCTGGCATTGGTGCGGAAAACCAGGAGGAAGGAGAGAGCGGGCGCTGTAAGGCTGAAGGGGAGATTGGAGATGTGAAGCACGGGAGCCCACTCGGGCAAAATACCCATCACAACCATCTCGTTCCACCCCACCACCGCTGCTGCGATGCCCGTCATCACTGACACCGGAGGGCCCAGCGCGCCGATGACCTTGGAGGTCAGGATGGTGCGCAAGTGCTTGAAGTAACGGCCACTCGATTTGTGTTTCTGGAAGGAGCGGGGGGAGGAGCGCGGCGAACAAGGGGGGAGGGGGGAAGGGCAGAGGGAAGCGGGGAAGGGATGGGGAAATATTACACGAGAAAGGAGGGAGAGGGTAGAGCTAGAGCAAGTCGAAGAGGGAGAAGGGAATGAAGACACATTTGCGTCAGGACAGATCCTTTCTGGATTTTATATATAGCGATGCGTGAGGGTGGAGGCACAAGGCAAGAGGTTGGCGTCAATGCTTCTTACCTTCCAGTCGGCATGGTCGAAGACGACGCGGCGAGAGACAAGCGCCTTGAACTTGACTTCATCAGCTGCGTTGATGTCCACGAGCGCGTTGGGCGCCATGGCCTTAACCACCATGCGGTTCTTGCCATTGGCACTCTGACCGGACTGTGCCTTGCTCACTGCTGGCTTGGTGCTCTTGAGGGAGATGCTTCTAATGGAGCCCTCGGAAAACTCCTGAAAAGACGAGGACTTCGCGCCAAGCGACGAGGTGGCTGTGAGCTTCAGGGACGAGCCAGCGGCAATGCTGGTATAAGCAGCCATGGCGACGGAGTGACCAAACGTAATTTTACTGACAAATCGAACGCGGCTTCAGAATAGGCCAATGCTTCGCTTTATATGCACTGCCTGGTTCAACGGAGAGATGGATAACGACGAACCGCGCAGAAATAAGTTCGGTTGGCTGGGTGTGCGGTGGTGGAGGGAAGGGGGAGGAGGTGATGGGCTTGCGGCTGGCGGAAGAATGAGTTTCCAGGTTCCGCCTGCCATGAAAGATTGAGCATTCCCGCGCTGGTTCACAGTAGTGGTAAGATGCACTTACTGCTTGGCAGGCGATGATGAGTGGCTAGGATTAGCTGGGCTGACTCACAATGGCGATCTTAGCGGGCGTTCCTTGTGGAGGAGGGGTCCGGAAGGGATTGGTGATTGGTCCAATCTGTGGTCGACGGTCCTTGCCACGTAGGCATGAGACACTTCCCCTATACCCTGAAAAGTCGGCATCCTGTCTGGGTGAGGTGAGTCAAGGCGAGCCGAGTTATGGGGAGATCTGAACCTGGATATCCACGTGGCGAGAATAATTCCCTCACATGCAAATGCAACCACAGAATTGTTCGAAATTGCAGTTCATGAACTCGATGCATTTCCACTGTTCAGAATAAAAAGCTGGGACAGGGTATACCAGGCAACCCGAAGTGTCACTTGCTGGTGCGCTCCCTATTGAGCCACACATCCCCGGGCCACTGGCTCATCAACGAAAGCTAGTAATCCGCGACAAAATCCTCAGGCAAATATGGTAACTTTTTGGACTGTCGTCAATTCGCAGGGTGCAGTTGCCCTTTGCGAACCCATTTTGCAAATCACGACTGCGAACTCAAAAGAACCCCAGGTTGCGATGTCAACGCATTGCTATGCGATGTGCGCCTTGAAGATTCATTGTGAACAGAAAGGATTTCAAATGGCGTCAACTTGACTCCACTTGTGCTGATTCCCACTTTCACATCCTTTCGGCATGGATCCTCTATCTCTCCTCACCACCACCATCCTAGGCGCAATTTTCCTTTCACCTCCTCCGCCTGTCAGCTCCCACCTCTCCTCCTCACCACCATCCTCTCTCCATCGATATTTCCTTTCACCTCCTGTGCCTGTCACCATACACCCTGGATTTGCATCTACGTCAGGCTCAAACTTGCCTTGATTGCTCCTCGCGGTACCTTCTCTTTCCTCTCCCTCTTCAGTGGTCCGAAATTGATGCATACTCCCAATCTCTATTTTTTAATTCAGTTGATTCCATCGTGGCCCATCTGTGATGTGGATTGTTTTCAGAGGATAATTAGTGAATTTCCTTCAGTAAATATTATCTATGTCGTGTGATTCGTCAGCTTGCCTCCCTATTTGCGTCTCTCAGCTGCACCACTTCCCGACCGACCCCTGTTTCTAACTCCAGGAATTCACGCTCGGCTTCGAAAAAGCATCAAGCAAGAACCATTCACACCCAAGACCGTGGGATATGCGTGCCGGAATGCCAGCTTCACATTGTACCGAGGGAAACCATTTGAAGAGTGCCGATAGGTAGGAGGGAGGGACAGCAAGGTCTGCTCCAGCTGGAAGGTGTTGATTCCTAAGGAGGGTTATACATTTTTACGAACTGAACATTAATCGCAGAACAGTTAGTGAACACGTTTCAGAAAGCCATTGCAGTCTAGCTGAAAGCAAAGCATTATAGAAACGCACTCCTACACACTCTTACAATTGCAAGAACCTACACTGGCACATTCCTAACTCTACTCATTAGCTCTACACCCTTTCAGTAGTTCTACCTAATACCTAACACCACCTACTCCTATTCAATCCTATACGTCCCTAAACGGCCAGCACCTAAACGGCTGGCACGGCACCAACCATGTGTTCCCCTCCACGTATGCTGCCTCCCCCACTTGCAGGGGTGCCACTGCTCCTACATGCTGCCACGTCATACGCTGCCATGTCATACCCTATCATATCATACCTCCCAACACCTTCTCCGTTTCCCCTGGGAAAGTCTCCCTCCTCATTTTCGCTGTAGTAATCCTCTGCTTCATCACAGAAGTAATTCTCCTCTTCCTGAGCCTCAATAGACAGAGGCTCTTCAGTGAAACCCCCTTGCACTGCCACCAGCTGCTGCTCCTGTATGCATGGATGTCCCTCAAACCCTTCATTACCCTCCATCTCATCATTTAACCGTTCTGTAACGCCTTGAAAATCTCCCAACCCAGTCATCCCATCCATGAGATCGATCCCTTCCAAGCCGTCAAGCCCATCCAGTCCGTCCATTCCTGCCAGCCCATCCAGGCCGTCCATCATGTCCAGCAAGCCACCGATGTAGTCAACTCCTCCAATGTTACCGTCAGAGGCGAACATTGCATCGTTCAATCTACCAGGAGCAGCGGGAGCCACAGCAGCAGGCGTGGCATCACCCGGAGCAGCAGCAGCAACGCCATTAGCGGTAAAATAAGCAGTTGCAGCAGCACAACGGGCGCCAGCAGGAACAACGCTGCAGAAATTGGACGCAGCAGCTCGTTTCAACCCATACTGACTCTCCTGCTGCTGCTGCTGCTGCTGCTGCTGCCGCGTCTGCTGCATGTGCTGCTGCTGCTGCTGCTTCTGACCTCTCCCTTCATTCCCCTGGGTGTTACCTTTGGTACCCAAATCTTCAACGCCTTGCCCATTCCCCTTGCCATTCCCCTTGCCATTCCCCTGCCCTCCACCCTGTACGCTGCCCTGTCCGTCGCCCCTCCTACCCACCCCTGCGCCACCCCCGTGCCCACCTCCCTGCCCATCGCCCTCATCCGAGCTCCTCCGAAGCACCACCTCCTCCCCGAAGCACCGCCTGTACACGTCCCTCAGACTCATCGCCTTCAGCTGCTCCTCCTCGCTCCACTCCTCACTCTCCTCCTCACCCCCTTCCTCATCCCCCTCCTCACTCCCCTCGTCATCCCCCGCCTCTCCCTCTTCTCTCTCTGTCTCCCCATCACCGTCCTCCCCTGCCCCTGCCTCCTGCTCACCCTTCTCCTCCTCTATGCTTTCCCTGTCTTTGAAATCAGCACCCTCTTCCTCGCTTTCAGCTTCGCCACCCTCCCCACCAGTCCCCTCCTCTGCCTCCTCCTCAGCACCTTCACTCCCCTCACTTCCTCCGTAGTTTTCTAGCCTCCCCTCTCCACCTTTGGTAAGAAGCCTCAAATATCCCGCATTCCCTTCCTCCTTTCCCTTCTGCTGCTGCTGCTGCTGCTGCTTCCGCTGCTTCTGTTTCTGCTGCTTCTCCTGCTTCTGCTTCTGCACCTGCTCCCCGTGCTGCTCCTTCCTGCGCCTCTGCCCCTTATTCTCCTCAGACCGCTTCACCTGCAACCGCAGCAGCGCCAGCGCGGGAAGAACCGAGTCAAGCGGGTCTTCTGAGTCAACGAACTGGCACTCCTCCTCCTCCTCCTCCTCATATGCCAGCTCAGCAAAACCACCAGCAGTAGAAGCGTTACCAGCACACGTGTGGTTACCAGCACCAGCACTGTTACTGCGACCAGCAGCAGCAGGGGAACCGCCTGCCGAGCCAGCAGCGGCAGTCCCAGTCTTCAGCATGACGCCCTTGGTGTTGCAGCCTAGTGGAGAGGGAGAATACCGCTTCTGCTGCTGCCGCACCTGCTGCTGCTGCTGCTGCTGCTGCTGCTGGTTGAGACTGCTGGTAGGTTCGGGCAGAGGCGTGCTGGTAACAAGGGGTGGTGTGCTAATTACTGGAGATGGATGCCTGCTGACCTGCGCAGAAAGGGGAGAGGGGAAGACGGGGAAATCTTTAGTCCAGAGAGAAGAGGAGAATTTCTTGGGTTTACTCACAGCAGGAAGAGGAGAATCGACAGCAGGAGACCATTTCTCATCGTTTTTTTGCATCAAACGGAAGTGATGGTAGGTTTGTTGTGTGGTTGTGTGATGGATAGGAAGAGTGGGTTTTGAGCAGGTGATGTTTGGGAGGGAGAAAGATGAGAGGGGGGTTTTGATAGGAGAAACGGTAAGCGAGAAACAACAAGAATTTTAGTGCCATGGCATTGAATCGCTATTGCATCCTTCTTGCATCCTTACTTCATCCACTTACCACCACGTTCCCATCCCCATGCCGACCACTCGAGCCGCTGCCACCCCCCTTGTCGTCTCCTCCCTCCACTCCGTCCCTCCCCCTCCCCTCCCCCACTCCACCAGCCGTCCCTCCCTGCTTGCCCTGCCACTTGTCCTTCTGCCTCCTCCACCTCCTCATCTGCAGTTAGAACGAAGGAGTCAACAAGGACGGGAGAAGCACTGTGAGTGGATGGGGGGTCGGGAACTCACTCAACCATGCATACACAAGAGATAAATAATTAAAGAAAGAAATAAGACAAACAAAGAAAACTGTGTTCAAATCTGCTGCACAGTATTGAAACAGCTAGAACGCGTTTTACTGACCCACACTGACGCACTTGTAACTGAATCTGAGTGTTACTTGCACAGCACAGCAGCGAAACGGTCAAAAAAGAGTATGTCAACTTACCCGTGCATTGATGAACCAGCAGTTGACCTGCGTGTCCCTCAGCCCTGAGTTTGCTGCTAGCTCCGCCTTCTCCCTCTGCTCATGGGTGGAGGAAACGGGGAAAGGAGAAAAGGGAAGGGGAGGAGGGGTGGTGTGGGGTGGGGAGGGGGAAAGGTTTTGAGTCGACTCAAAGATTGATGAACCAGCAGTTGACTTGCGTGTCCCTCAGCCCTGAGTTCGCTGCTAGCTCCGCCTTCTCCCTCTGCAGGGAAACAGGTGAGGGAGAAGCGTGGAGGGAGGGGTGGACGGAGGGAGAGGGACAGAAGGGGAAAAAAGGGAGGGGAAGGGAAGGGAAGGGAAGGAAGGCGTGTGGAATGGAAGAGGAGAAGAGAGATGAGAGGGTGGTGGAACAAAGGCGACCACTCTGTTTTTACAGAGTATCTGTTAAGTGAGACTGCAACACAGTAGGATGAGGTGGAAGGATGGACGTTATTTTGGTATAGTGAGATTGGGTGGTACTTCGGTGGTGAGCGGGGTGAAGTGCGGTGGAGATGGGTAGTACCTCGGTGGGGTAGGGGTGGTGCAGGTGCGAGAGGAACCACGAGTTGAGGCAGTCGACCGCCTCCTTGGAAAACTTGGTGCGCGGGCCCTTGCGCCGGATGGGCTCGTCCTGATGGGTGGAGAGCGGTGGTGGGCGTTTGGGGGGCAAGAGACAAGATAGGGAGAGACAAGGCAAGCACGGAGGGATGAGTTGAGGCAGCTGATTCGTGGGGGGTTTCAAAAAAGTAATGGAGAGGATGCAAACATGGAGCAGGCAAGGAAAAGGAAAAAAGGAATAGCTCCCAGAATTAAAAAAAAAAAAAAAAAAAAAAAAAAAGAGGAGGGAGAGGATGTGTACCTGTTGTTCCGAGTCCTGGGTAGCGTTTCCCAGACCATCCTCGTCCATCCATTCTGCTGCCTCTGTACCATCATCACTAGCACCACCGGCACCGGCACCACCGTTGGTACCAGCAGCAGCCCTAGCAGCGGGAGATCCAGCAACAGCAATAGAACCGCCAACAAGGGAAGCACCAACAGCTGCACCAGCAGTTGCAGCAGAAGCAGCCACAGCAGGCGAGAAAGGAGGAAAAGCGCCAATGGGGGTGGAGGGGGGAGGGGGGAGAGGGGTGCGCATGGGTGGGGGAGTGGAGGGTGGGGGGGCAGACCGAGGGACTGGAGCTGCGTAGAAGCTGCTGTGTGTCTGCTGTTGCTGCTGATGTTGCTGCTGTTGCTGGTAAGACTGTTGCTGCTGTTGCTGCTGATAACGCTGCTGGTAAGAGTGGTGCTGCTGCTGTTGTTGCTGCTGTTGCTGGCGATACTGCATTTGCTGCTGCTGCTGCAAGTACCCCTGCTGACTCGGCAGAACGTGTTGCTGACGTGGCTGCAGCTCCCCCTGCTGCTGTTGCTGCTGTGAAAGCATGGACCCTGGAAAGTGCCTCTTAACGGGTGTGAGTGTACCGAGGTTGGAGGAGCCCCATCCCCCATGTCCGCCGATCCCCGCCTGTGCCACGTGGACAGCAGGGCCCCTCTGGCTTCGTGACACGTCAGACCGAGCCATCTCAGCTTGGTTCACGCCAAGGTGACCTGGAGCGCTTTCTCGTGGCATCATCAGATCCCCTTGGCGTTCGTACGCGACATAAGCATCTCCACGCACTCGCTTCAGCTGCTGCTGCGACGCATCCTGCGACCACCCTTGCTCTTGCACCTGCTGCACCCGCTGCTGCTGCTGCTGCTGCTGCTGTTGCGGCTGCCAAACGTTCGGCTGATTCTGCTGCTGCGGCTGCAGCTGCGGCTGCGGCGGCTGGGTTAGAACCTGCGCCGGCCATTCCGCTTGCGGAGGCGGCGGAAGGGAACGGGGAGGGGGAGGTGGACCCGGGAAATGCGGAGAAGAAGGGGGAGAGACGACGAGCGGGGACGCGGGCTGCGGAAGCGGAAGTCCCGCGCAAGGGGGCACGTGAGGCGCGCCGTAATCTCCGCAATACCCTCCTGTCACAGCAGAAGCGCCGTAATAGCTGACCGCAGGCGGCTGGGAAGGACCGGCGGGATGGCTTGGCGGGAGCGCGGGCGGCGGAAGGGTTGGTTGCGGCGATTCGTACGAGGACTGCGCGAATTGAATACTACTCGTGGGAAAGGCGGCGGGATTGACGGGCTGCGCGTTTGGCGGAGAAGCATGGGTCGGAAGCCCGCTGGTAAACCCTAGCGGCGACGGTTGGTTACCAGTCGTGTTACACTGGAACTGCTGCTGCACCTGTTGCTGCTGAAAATGCGGTTTGATTCGCGCCTGCGCCTGCGCCTGCTGCGGCTGTAATGGCTGCTGCTGCTGAGAAGATTCGCCGTAGTTGTGAAAATTTGAGCCAGTTGGGGCACGAGACTCCGCCGCAGAACCCAAAACCCCCGCATTTGTGTTCTGGTTGAACCTCAGATGTTGGTAACCTGTCGTCACCGCCGCGGGCCCAACAACAACGGGTGCGAAGTCAATATCGTCAAGCATCGAGACGAAGAAACCGTCGTCAGCGAGAGCTGCTTCAGTGGTTACCACATTGTCGCAACCCAACCCCCTTCCTCCCTCCCCTCCCATGCCCTGCAATACATTTCCACTCCCAACTCTTCCCTCGACACCAACGCCCGAGATTTTCCCGTCAAATTGCATGCCTTGATCCGGCTGCTGCTGGGAATAAATGGTGACCCTTGGATCAACCTGTTGCTGAGTTGGCGCGGATTTGAAGGCATTCTCGTCGTCGGATTTCACGGCCGCGTACGCGCTTCCAGCTGCGCCGGACGCGCCAGCGGAGCTCGGAGCTGGGTAATTCGCAAAATCCGTTTCATTGACACGTGGCGACGGTGTGCAGTCAGAGGCGAACGTGGCGGCGTCGTGAGTGGCGGCAGCGCTTCGATTCGAAGGGCGATGGTAGTTCACGAGCTCCGCGCCTGTAGCGGGGATGGACGTAGGATCTGCGTGGTGCAGCAGCAGCGATTGGTCGCCCTTGCCAGGCTCGTAAATGGAAAACGATCTGCCAAAAGCGTTAGTATTATTGCTATTGTTAGTAATACCCGGCAGCGCAATGGCAGTTATCTGCGTCGAATGAGGAAGAAACAGAGACTCTTCAAGGTTGTTGGTGACGTTATTAGCGAGGATATCCGCGTTGACGCTTCCTGGCGCGATCAGGGGCATCTGGACGGCAGTACTACCCGCCACGCTGACATCAGAGGCACGCGCCGCGGGATGCGGGGGTTTCTGTCCGTTGGATCCTCGATCGTTGCCTGTGGTGCACATTCTAAGATGCGACTGACTCTCAGGAGATGGGGAACTAGACGTTTCTAATCTTAAAGCGGCCTCAGCATGAGAGCTGGTGTTTCCACTGTCGGGATCGTTGCTAGGCTGCTGAATGAGGCAGAATATGTCCTCGGCCATATAATAAGGCCCTGGGATGTCTAGAAGAGGCTCTGAGTCCTGGAACGGCCTAATGCTAAGACAGCTACTACTGCCCACGGCGTTCATTGGAGCAGTTGGAAGAATGATCACGGTCTGGAGCAAGTATGGGCATCCAGGGCGACTTGTCAAGCAGGAAAAGTAAGAGTGATGAAGTATATGCTGCCTCTGCGGAATGGCCCTTATGAGAAGGCTTGAGGAGGCTAAGGATCGGATAAGGCGGCGACGGAGGTGGATAAGGAGCTTCGGTTTAGGCTTTAGGAGCGAAAAACACGATGCGGACACATGACGGGTTTTTCGCTGGTGTAGGCATGAGTGGTTTCGGAGGGGGGGCTTTGGTTAGGTTGGATTGGGGCGCAAGCATAATTCCCAAGCTGATCAATTTCGGCTCTCGGACCGCGATCATGACCGAATCGCCTGCCTCGAGAATTTCGGCGACAGGAGGTTTGGTCGGGTGCAATCGAAATTGCGGGTCTGGCCTGGTAACCAGCCGTGATTTCACTTCGCGGGAAACGTAGGCTCAGGTTCCGGAGACACTGCCCCTCTCATTGGCACAAATGCTCGCAACTTTCGGACACGTGTGGCCAAGTAGAGCAAGGGGGCTATGCCTAGTGGTTTGTATACTTTACTGTACCAGTTATAGTTGCATTTATGCTTGTTTTATCCACGTGTAGACAAAATGTTGGTTGAGTGCCACATGGACCACAAGAGTGGAGCACGTAGAGGAGGTAGCCGCACCACGTCACTCCCCAGTCAGGCGTCCTCTCGTGCCACATGATGTTGACGTCAGTCCCACACATTCATGTTCGCTAAGTTCGCAACACATAAGTCGCTGTAACGTAACATCTACCCACTTCCATTCCGCCAAACCGAAGCTCTAGAAACGAAAGTAAGCGAAAACAGTTCCAGGATGTCCAGTTTTCGCATGAAGTATCTCTTCCTGGAGAACAACGCATCCCAGAGTGAGAATAGTGCTGACGTGGGCGAAGGAGGTCCCTCGATCTTTCGTGACTGGCGATCTTCCAGGAAATTCCATTTCGAGCGACAGCATCTTGACCTGAGGCAGGAATGGGAGTACAAGTTTTGATTCTCCCTTGTTTGAATTCAAATACTTATCCGTATTAGCGCCTCTGTTGCTCGCTATCTTACTCGCTCAGCTTACTTCGTAGGACACCCTACAAGCGGATAGAGTTAGCCTATTGTTCCGCTCGGCTTTTTCGCGCCATCATGCAGGTTCGTGGCCGCAGATATCCGAATGATCGAGCTCATCATTTGGCGCTGCAGTTTAGGAGTGGTAGTAAACCACGATTTCACATGTCGCGGTTTTACTTCGCTCGTCATCCACTCCCGCGCGCCCGTTCATTCCGCTCAGGCCCTGCGCAACGCGCTTTTCTTCGCAAACTTTTTTTTTTAACGACCTCTATCCCTCCGCGCGTCCCTTCATTCCGCGCAGGTCCTGCGCAACGCGTTGTTCATCGCATACGGCAACGCCAACTTCACTCGAAGCGCCTTTCTGTAAGAAATGAAGGAATATATTAGAGAGCGTAGCGATAGCGAGAGAGTTTCTTCTATGGGAACGATGTTGCGCCAGCAACTTGGTAGAGTTTCGGTAGTGTTTGCCTCGAAGGACTTAGTAAGAATTGAAGTTGCATTTCGGCCAAGTAGAATTGCAATATCAAGTATCAAACACACAAGCAAACACAAACATATATAGGCAAGCAAGAGTTGCACAATTGTTGCGTGGCGCTGCGAGTAACCCAACCCACACGAAAGTGCTGTGCAGGTGGGTGAACGCGCCCCGCACATTTCCAACCCAACTCGGCACCGGAATGTCTCACCGTGCACGCTACTCCTGCCAACACAGCAAGTGAGAGGCGTGCCTCACAAGCAAGGCACCTACGACCCCCAAGACTCGTCATTCCTAGCACCGATTCCGCCGAGTTCGCTGCAGTAGCTCACAGTCACCCGTAGTCACTAATGACCGCCACCGAACTCGTGCGTCGGTGCCGAGTAGACTCAGTCGTTAGGCGCCGACCTGCCAAGTCAAAGGTCATCGAGGGCCCTAGCTGTCGTAGGGCCCTCTAACAAGAAAATCATCCCTCCAATTCGTTCTTCGGCCCCGTATCGTCACCCCTAGCCCCTCTTGTCGTCACCCCTAGCCCCTCTTGTCGTCACCCCTAGCCCCTCTTGTCGTCACCCCTAGCCCCTCTTGTCGTCACCCCTAGCCCCTCTTGTCGTCACCCCTAGCCCCTCTTGTCGTCACCCCTAGCCCCTCTTGTCGTCACCCATAGCCCCTCTTGTCGTCACCCCTAGCCCCTCTTGTCGTCACCCATAGCCCCTCTTGTCGTCACCCATAGCCCCTCTTGTCGTCACCCATAGCCCCTCTTGTCGTCACCCCTAGCCCCTCTTGTCGTCACCCATAGCCCCTCTTGTCGTCACCCCTAGCCCCTCTTGTCGTCACCCCTAGCCCCTCTTGTCGCCACCCATAGCCCCTCTTGTCGTCACCCATAGCCCCTCTTGTCGTCACCCCTAGCCAGTCGTGACCCCGGAGCCCCAATGTAGTCACCTCCGATTCCTGAAGAATTCGTCTCTCCTTCTTTTTCCTTTCTTTTCTTTTCTTTTTTTCCGTTTCCCTTGCTCCGCCTTGCGCGCTCATCCAGGCCAGGAAACACGCCAAGACGATTGAATGTGCTGACGATCAGGCGGCCACAGGTGATCGTTGATGCGACTCAAAAGTCACAATTCCAAACTCACAATGTTATTCCCAATTCGCCCCCAATTCACCCTCTCATCCTCGCCAGGAAACACGCCAAGACGTTTGAAGATGCAGCTGATCAGACGGCCGTTGAGGCGCCTCAAAAGTCGTTTGAAGATGCAGCTGATCAGACGGCCACAGGGGTTCTTCGAGGTGACTCAGAAATCACAAGCTCGTACTTTCAACGTTATCTCCGCCTCGCCCCCGTTTCTTCTCGCCCACCTCCAGGAAACACGCCAAGTCGTTTGAAGACGCTGACGATCAGACGGCCACAGCAGGTGTTAGCACGGACGCTCGGCGGCTCGATGAGGTTCGGAATGCCGAAGCTGAGGTTCGGCATGACGGTGCTACGGGCGCCGAGCCTGCAGCAGCGGACGCGCGGGGGCGGCGGGACATGCAGGGTCGCGTGTGCGTGGTGACGGGGGGCAATCAGGGCATTGGTCGCGCCGCTGCTACCGCCATGGCGCAGAGGTGAGTGGGTGGTGCAAAGGGGAGCATGTTGGGGTTTGCAGGGGCATCTTTGCATGGGCGATGAGGGGAAATCAGGGCATTGGGCCCGCCACTGCCACCGCCATGGCTCAGAGGTGAGTGGGTGGTGCAAAGGGGAGCATGTTGGGGTTTGTAGGGGCATCTTTGCATGGGCGACGAGGGGAAATCAGGGCATTGGTCGCGCTGCTGCTACCGCCATAGCTCAGAGGTGAGCGGATGGCGCATACAAGGGAAGGAGGGGAAAAAGTGGGAGATGAGGCTTCCCCCATTTTACCACCCTTCCCGCTCCTCACACAATCCCCCCTGCTTTCCCCAATCCCCTTAGGGACGACACTATTCGCACTTTCTCAATCCCACGCTCCTCCTCCCCCCTTCCCCTCCCCACCGTTTCCCCAACCCCCCAGGGGAGCCATGGTGCACACAGTGTGTCGCCACGAAGACAGAGGGGCTGCAGCCTCTCCCGCTTTTCCTCAACCTCTCTCCCACGTTTCCCTCTCCTTTCACCCAACCCTCCCAGGGGAGCGACGGTGCACATAGTGTGCCGTAACGAGGCCAGAGGGGCGGCAGCAGCCTCTGAGATCGCCGCCCAGACAGGGAACGACCAGGTGTTTCTTCAGGTGAGGAAAGAAAACGATCCGTTTTTTTTTTTTTTTTTTTTTTTTTTTTTTTTGCCCCAGAGGGCTAAAGAGTAATGGTGTTTTCATTTTGCTCTCTTATCTTTTCACCGCACGTGGGTGTTTCTTCCTACTCAGTCTCCTCTCTCCCACGTCGGCTCATTATAACCCATTCCCATGGCTTCTCTCCTCCGCACCCCTTCCTCCCTCATGTCCTATCCCTCTGCACCTCCGCACTTTCTTCCCCTCGCCCTCCCTCTCTGCCCGCCAGTTGTGCGACCTCTCCTCTCCTCTCCTCTCCTCTCCTCTCCTCTCCTCTCCTCTCCTCTCCTCTCCTCTCCTCTCCTCTCCTCTCCTCTCTCTCAAGTGCACTCCCTGGCTGCTCGACTAAGGTGGTCCTTGCAATCTCTCTATCTCAATTTTTCCTTCCTCTCGTTGCCGTGCCTCTCCCTCCCTCCCTAACTGCCAGCTCTGCGACCTCTCCTCGCTCTCTCAAGTGCACTCCCCTCGCGGATTGACAATTCTAGTGTGGCCCTTCCCGCCCTTTTATCTCAAAAGAGCCTTCCCCGCCCTCCCTTCCCGCCAGCTCTGCGACCTCTCCTCGCTCTCTCAAGTGCGCTCCTTGGCTGATCGGCTAGCTGAGCTAAACACGCCCATTCACGTGCTAGTGAACAACGCTGGGGTGATGGAGCATGAGAAGAAGACGTCGCCTGATGGGTGAGTGAGTGTCACTGTGAGAGGGTTTGGGTGTGACCGTATGGGATCATTCACGCGACACGCCTATCCATGTGCTGATGAACAATGCTGGGGTGATGGAGCATGAAAAGAGGATGTCGCCTGATGGGTGAGCGTGGGTCAGTGTGAGAGGGTCATTGTGAGAGGGTGTGAGTGGGAGTTGCACTGTGGGGACATTGGCACGCGCATTTACGTGCTGATGAACAATGCTGGGGTGATGGAAGCATGAGAGGAAGACGCCGCCTGATCGGTGAGCGAGTGTCACTGTGAGAGGGCCATTGTGAGAGGGTGTGAGTGGGAGTTAGTTGCACTGTGGGGACATTGGCACGCGCATTTACGTGCTGATGAACAATGCTGGGGTGATGGAAGCATGAGAGGAAGACGCCGCCTGATCGGTGAGCGAGTGTCACTGTGAGAGGGCCATTGTGAGAGGGTGTGAGTGGGAGTTGCACTGTGGGGACATTGGCACGCGCATTTACGTGCTGATGAACAATGCTGGGGTGATGGAAGCATGAGAGGAAGACGCCGCCTGATCGGTGAGCGAGTGTCACTGTGAGAGGGTCATTGTGAGAGGGTGTGAGTGGGAGTTGCACTGTGGGGACATTGGCACGCGCATTTACGTGCTGATGAACAATGCTGGGGTGATGGAAGCATGAGAGGAAGACGCCGCCTGATCGGTGAGCGAGTGTCACTGTGAGAGGGCCATTGTGAGAGGGTGTGAGAGTGACAGAATGGGGGGATTCACACGACACGCCCATTCACGTGCTGGTGAACCATGCCGAGATCATGGAGCATAAAAAGAAGACGTCGCCTGATGGGTGAGTGTGAGAGAGAGAGAGCACTGAGAGAGTGGCTTCATGGGCTGGAGAGCGAATGAAGGTATCATTCTCCCTATTCTTTCCCATGCACTCTTCCCTCCTGCCTCTTCCCTCTTGCCTCCTCTCCTCCCACGTTTTGTCATCCCCTCCAGGTTTGAGCTCAACTTTGCAGTGAACGTGCTCGGAACTTTTGTTCTGACCGAAGCACTCCTGCCGTTGCTGCAGCGGGCAGCCTCAGAATCAAAAGTCATCACTGTGGCCACTGGGGGCATTCTCACTCAACCGCTCAGCACCGATCTGCAAATGGAAGACACCAAGTTTGATGGGACTGATGCATATGCTCGCAACAAGAGAGTGCAGGTGTGTGCGGGTAAAAAAGAGGCCGAGCATTGTGAGAGCTAACAATGTCTCACTCCCACACTTGTTTTGACACATTTCAGTCCCATTTAGTGGTTTTTCAACCAGCCTGAATTCATGGTAAGCACAATTTTCGTTCATACTCCCCTGCAGGTGGCTCTAACAGAGAAGTGGGCGGAGCTATATGGGGTACAGCCAGGAGTAGGGTTTTACTCCATGCACCCGGGGTGGGTCGACACGGCCGTCCTTCAAACCAGCATGCCTGGATTCTACAACACGTGAGCCCTCGAATCTGAGCCCTCGAATCTGAGCCCTCGAATCTGAGCCCTCGAATCTGAGCCCTTGGATTTGAGTGCTTGTGCGGCATGTGTGCCGTTCATGTGTATGTGCGTCCTTCAAACCAGCATGCCTGGATTCTGTTCAACACGTGAGCCCTCGACTTGAATCTGTTCATGTGTGCTGAATGCATCAGTCAATGCCTCAGTCAATGCCTCAGTCAGTGCCTCATTCAATGCCTCAGTCAATGCCTCAGTCAATGACTCAGTCAATGCTCGGTCAATGCCTCAATCAATGCCTCAGTCAATGCCTCAGTCAATGCCTCAGTCAATGACTCAGTCAATGCTCCAGTCAATGCTCCAGTCAATGCCTCAGTCAATGCCTCAGTCAATGCCTCAGTCAATGCCTCAGTCAATGCTCGTCAATGCCTCAGTCAATGGCTCGTTCAATGCCTCAGTCAATGCCTCAGTCAATGCTCAGTCAATGCCTCGGTCAATGCCTCAGTCAATGCCTGTGGGCATGCTCTTGCTTGTGCACAGTCATCGCAATACCAGAGGAGGAGGGGACATACACCTCTGAAGCGGCGGTGGGTCGAGATGACTTGCTACACACATTTTGCCTCTCCTTGTCAACATAGCAAAAGACACGCATTTCTCCCCCCACCCATCCCTGCCTCCTCCTTCAAATTCAAGTCCTCTCTTAGAAGGCCAGAGGAGGGGGGAGGATGCCGCCATATGTGGCTGGAGTATCTGCACTTTCCTGTTCCGTCTTTCCCTCTCACCCCCTTCCATCCCTCTTCCCTCCTCCTTCCTCCGTTCTTTTTCCACAGATCCAAGGCCTCGCTGAGAAGGCCAGACGAGTGCGGCAGATACCATAGTGTGTCTGCTGTGTCAACTTGACTGTTTGAGTATTTTACGAGATACAAGCCTTCCTCCCCCCATCCCTCCTCCCTCCCCCAGGTTCAAGGCCTCTTTAAGAAGGCCAGAGGGGGCAAGCAGACACGATAGTGTGGCTGGCGAGTCAACTCGACTGTACATGCATCTTAAAGGGTACAAATGTCATCCGCTCCTCTCCCCCTCCCCTAGATTCAAGAACTCTTTGAGGAGGCCAGAGGAGGGGGCAGACACGATAGTGTGGCTTGTGAGTCAAATTTACTGTTCGGGTAATTTACTCTCATCAATCCTCCCCCCTCCCCCAGGTTCAAGACCTCTTTGAGGAGGCCAGAGGAGGGGGCAGACACCATAGCCTGGCTGGCGAGTCAACCCGAGTCAAAGCTGGTCAATGGGGGTTTCTACTTTGACCGGCGGGTTGCTTCCAAGCACCTTCCTTTTGCAGGCACGGAGTACAAGAAGGAAGTTGTGGATGAGATCTACACCAAGCTGAAGGAGCTCGCTAAAATAACAAAAGAATAGCACATGGCTCAACAACTTTATTCATGCGACGGGTAGCATTTTTCTTTGTAACATATCTCCTACCCAGTGGAATCATCTCAATTTTATATATTTCCACACTCCTACTGCTTAGGGTGGTATATTAAACCACAAATTCGTGGTGCACAACTGAGAGCGTGATCCTACGGACCCCTATCAGGCTAACCCCTTGTCAGGCTGGTGCATGCGAGCGATTTCGTTATTAACACCGTTTTCCAGACTTGAAAAATTACAATGCTGTTCGATGAATTGGTCGAGCGAAATCTTTGAAACGTGCTGTTCAGTGACCCTTGTCAGGCAATCGCGCGAAATCTTTCAAAAGGTGCTGTTTCAGCGAGCCATGGTCAGGGAATCGTGCGAAATTCTTCACACATGCTGTTTTGTCGGGTATGAAACATACAAAGACTTTTCCGCCAAACACACGTCACGATCGCCTGGAATCTGTCTGAACTCGGAATATTTCTCCTTTGCAACCTTTCGGGACCGTTGCGCAGTGCCACGTCACCCAACGCATTTTGTCGCGCACTTCACAAACGATCAAAACGTCTCATACAATGCGTTTAATCCGAAATTCTGGTGTGTGAGGCGAGTCTGACAAGGGGCTGGCCTGATAGGGGCCCGTAGGAACACGCTCTGACTCTTTTCCAATATCATTTTTCAAATGCGTCATGTGTACTGGCAAACGGTAGTGAAAGTGAATAATACTCGATTTGACCAACAGAAGTACCAACCACATCCAAGTTTTGTACAGCCCCAAGCATACTACAGTAGTAAGAGATGCTACCTACCAGAGTGCACCAGGTCCGATATATAACAGCTCGATTGCCTGCTACGTATCCTGCATAGGCACTCAACCCTGCCACGTCCCACTGTATGCCACACTACATCATGCACCGCAGAGCACTCCGCACAGCACAGCACCGCACAGCACAGCACAGCACCGTACTGCACCGCACAACATCCAGGCAGAATACCATATGCAGCCGTCATTCAAATGGCCCATTCTCCCAAACCTCAATGTTGCTCCTGCTGCTGCTGCTGCTCCTGTTGCTGCTGCAGCAGCAGCAGAAGCTGGTGGTGCTGGCACACTGGTGCTCACAGAATCTCCTCCAAGGTCACAATACGGTACTCTTCAAACATTTTGAAGCCAAAAATACACACCGGCTGCTGTGTAAGAAGAAGGGTTTTGAGACGTCTCAAAACATTTCAAGGCCCAAAACACACACCGGCTGCTGTAGCAGCAGCATCAGCAGCAGCTGCTGCTGCTGGTGGCATACTGGCGCTCACCGGAGGTCACAATACTCGTCAGACAATTCTCGGGCCTTCACTTCACAGGACCCTGCCTCTCCATGGTTCATGAAGGCGCCTTAGAAGCTGCCAGTCATCTCTTAGAGCGCTTCAGAAGCTGCCACTCCAGGCACGGCGGCTGTTGCGGATTTAGCTCTCATCCCATCAGACTCATTCTGCTGCCGCTGGCATACTGGTGCTACTGCTGCCCTGCTGGTGCTACTGCTGCCCTGCTGGTGCTACTGCTGCCCTGCTGGTGCTACTGCTGCCCTGCTGGTGCTACTGCTGCCCTGCCACTCCAGGCACGTCGGCTGTTGCGGATGCTAGCTCTCATCCCGTCAGACTCAGTCTGCTGCTGACAGCGTTAGGTCAACTCAAGGAATGGAGCTTTGGCTTGCTGTTTCTGTGTTAACCAGGGCAAAAGCAGAAGTAACCCTGCTCGAATCTGGTGCACCGACTGGTGACCCTCGCGCCTCTGCTGGTGCTGATGTGGCTCCCATGGTTGCTGCAACAGCAGCCACTGCTGCAACCCTTGCTGCAGCAGCTGTAGCGGCCGTGACAGCTGCAACAGAACCAGTAGCTGTAGACGCAGATCCAGTAGCTGATCCAGTAGCAGCAAACGTAGCAGCAAACATAGCAGCGGGCGCAGCAGGAGCAGCAGCAGCACTGGCACCAGCTGCAGCGGTAGCAGCACGAACAGCAGAAGGTGTGGAAGACGAGAGAGAAGCAGAAGCAGCAGGGAGCATTGCAATGGTAACCACGGCATAGGGAGCACCAGGAAGCAATCCATAGGGGCAGGACGTGGTTACGCTGCTGGTGCTACCTCTGCTGCTTCTGACACTCCCATCAGCACCATCAGCACCAGCATCAGTGGCATTGGCACCAGCAACAGCACTGCTGACAGCAACATTGGCACCATCACCACCACCATCAATGCCACCATCGGCAACAGCAGCGGCAGTGTTGGGAGTGCTTTCAGCAGCAGCAATCTTGCGTTCAATGTGCACAATGCGACCCACAATCACTGGGTACAGCATATCACAATGCTTCAGCCCCTGCCCCTGCCCCTGCCCCTGCCCCTGCCCCTGCCCCTGCCCCTGCCCCTGCCCCTGTCCCTGCCCCTGCTGCTTCTCCCCCTGCCCCTGCCCTTGCTGCCCCTCCTGCTGCCCCTGCTGCTGCCCTTGCTGCCCCTGCTGCCCCTGATGCAGCTGCTGCTGTTGCAGGAAGAGAGCGAGGGAGTGAGGGGAAAGGAAGAGAGGAACAGCAGCGGCATCGGGGGAGCAGAGGGCGCGGTAGTGGCGGCCGCCCCTCCCCACGGGTACAAACGCAGCGATGTCGTGCGTGTGGAATCGGGTGAAAGCTATCCTCTCACGAGCGATCTGATGGTTTAGATGAAGATAGGGAGGGAGGGGCAAGGGGTCATGAAGCTGGGAGGTATAGCTTTGGGGAGCAGAGCGCGCGGTAGTGGCGGCCGCCCCTCCTCCCCACGGGTACAAACGCAGCGAAGTCGTGCGTGTGGAAACGGGTAAAAGCTATCCTCTCACGCGCGATCTGAAGGGAGGGATGGAGGAAGGGAGGGGGAGAGGCAAGGAACACTGAAGGTGGGGGAGGTGCAACTGAGGCGAGCCGAGCGCGCGGTAGTGGCCCCCCCCCTCCCCACGGGCACAAAGGCAGCGATGTCAGGCGTGTGGAAACGAGCGAAGGCTGTCCTCTCACGCGCGATCTGTTGGTACAGACGACAGGAGGGAGGGAGAGAGGGAGGAAGAGCGCGAGGGAGTGAGGGGAATGGAAGAGAGGCATGGCATGTGATTGAAGTTTTGAGACGTCTCAAACCACATCTTCAATCATGAGGGGAATGGAAGAGAGGCATGGCATCGGGCGAGCAGAGAGCGTGGTAGCATTGAGGTGGTTTTTGAGGCGCCTTAAAAACCGCCTCAATGCGCGACGGAGTGAGGGGAATGGAAGAGAGGCATGGCATGTAGTAAGTCGATTTTTGAGTCGACTCAAAAATCGGCATCGGGCGAGCAGAGAACGTGGTAGCAGCTGCCCCTCCCCTCCCCACGGGCACCAAGGCAGCGATGTCGTGCGTGTGGTAACGTGTCAATGCTATCATCTCACGCGCAGCGCAATCTGTTGGTCAGGGCGAAGGGAGGGAGGAAGGGAGTAATGAGGTTTGATCCTGGTGCAGGATCCTCTGTTCTCCTCTAACCCTTCACTCTCCTTACCAAAAGCCAGCAGAACACACACCCCTCATTCCTCACCCCTCATTCCTCACCTCTCCATCTCCTCACCTGCTTCACCAGCTCGTGCTTTGAAGACATGTCCACGAGTGCATCTGACGTGCGTTGCAGCTGCCGGGCCAGGCGGTGCGCGTCCCCCTCCGCCCTGCGCCCTCGCTCCACCACCCGCCCCACCCCCAATGCTATTGCCCTCACCGCCGCCACCACCCACTCCTCTGCCGCTGGGACACTAGGAGCAGCAGCAGCCGGAGCAGCAGGGGCAGAAGGAGCAGCAGCAGCAGCACCACCACCACCAGCAGCAGCAGCAGCACCAGCAGCACCAGCAGCAGCAGCTGCAGAATCAGCCATGCTGCTGCTGCTCAAGCCGCTAGCTAAAACGGCACTCCTGCTCAGGCCCGAAGCAGAGCCAGCAGAAGCAGCAGCCACAGCAGCCACAGCAGCAACAGCTCCACCTGTTGCCGGAGCGACTCCACCCGTCGCCTCTCCCAGCGAGTCTGCCAAGCCGGAAAGCCCCTCCACGACACCCCCAAGGCTGTTTGCTTGTAAGCATCGGTTGATTCGCTCCATCAGCCCTCTCAGCCGCACCGCTGCCGCCCGCAACCCGCCGCTCTCCGCCGCGCGCCGGTCTGCGGCGCAGCGCAGCGTGCGCTGTCTCGCTCCTCGCCTCGTGCAGCCGGGTCTCTAGATCAGCACACGTTGCGCTGCCACTCTGCTACCTCGGCGCTTGTAACCGCACGCCCCTCGCTCCTCCCCTCACTCCGTGCCTCAGGCCCTCGCTTCGCTCCTCCGAGCCTCGTTCCGAGCCTCGCTCCTAGCTTCGTGCAGCCGGTTCTCCAGGTGGGCGCAGTTGAGCTGGCACTCTGCCAGCATGGCAGTCTTCCTCCGCAGCGCCTCCTCCAGCGCCGCCACCTGTCTCGCCACGTCACTGCCTTGCCCAGCTGACGTGGCACCTGAATCCTCCAATGCCTCCACGTGTCTTGCCACGTCACTGCCCTGCCGGCCCAACCCCGCACCAGCTTCCGAACCAGCTGTCAAACCATCCTTATTTTCCCAAGTTCCTGCTGCTGCCCCTTCTACTCCACACCTCTCCACCGCTCCCCACCTCCTCACTACCAGCTGCTGGAGCTGCACCGGCCCACCAGCCCTTTGCTCCAGCTCAGCAAGCCTTCCCGCCACCACCTCAGCAGCCGCCAGGTCAGCAGCAAGCTTTGCCAGCTCAGCATCCTTCTGTGCCACGTCAGCTTCGAGATCCGCCACTCTGGCAGCCTCATGCCTCTGCTGCTGACTCACCTGATCCAGCTCACGCTGCAGCTGCTCCAGCCGCCCCTGATTCCTCTCACGCTCCACTATACACAGACTCAATTCCTCTTTACAAGCATTAAAATCTACAGTAATATTATTTATATCTACAGTGCGAGCGTCCAGCTCAGCGCTGCGCTCGCTTAGCAGCCCTTCCAGCCGCGCTGACTCATCACGGGCCTCTGCCAGCTGGGATTCGGCGGCTGCCAGCCTGGCTTCCGCCGCCGTGAGCTTCGATTGGACAGTGGCCAGATTTGATTCTCCTGCAGACAGATTTGATTGCGCTGCGGATAGCTGCGACTCTGTCGCAGTGAGCTTCGATTGCAACGACTGGACCTCACTCAACGTGGCTTGCACCTCCTCTTGCAACCCTGCCACCTCTCTCCTTCTCTCCTCCTCACTCTTCCCCTCCTCCTCTCTCTCTCCCTCCTGACTTACTCTCTTCTCCACGGTCCTCCCCTCCTCCATTGCACCCTCCTCAATGTGTTCTCCGCCCTCCTGCTCCACCTCCTCTGTGACTGCGTCACTCGTCCGCACATCAGCCTTGTCTCTACCCATATCTCTCGAAATATCTCGGCTCATATCGCCCAGCATCCCTTCCAGCTCTCTGATTCGCCGCTCGTACGCCTCCACCTGCGCCTGCCTATCACGCAACGCCACCTGTACATGCCGCACCACCTGCTCCCTCAGCTGCAGCGCCTGCACCAGCTGCTGCCACTCCTCCGCCACGTGTCCCCCTCCTCCCCCTCCACACGCACCTTCACCTGCAGACCCAACTCCAGATAAACCCACCCCAGATACACCTACCCCAGTTGACCCAACCCCAGATGAACCTACCCCGGATAAACCTACCCCAGTAGCACCTGCCCCAGCTGCGCCCAGCACTCTGAGTGCAATCAGCTCCGCTCTGAGCCGCATGTTATCCACTGCCAGCTCCTCCGCGCTCCTGCCGCCCGCCATGTCATCGTTCGACTGGCTGACGTCAGCGTCCTCCTCGTCCACGTCAGCATGATGCTGCTGCCGGTGCTGCTGGTGGTGGTGGTGATGGTGAGAGGGGAAGGCGCTGCCAGCTGTGTCATCCTCGTCATAGACATGTGCGATACTGCTATTGATGTTCGCCCCTAATTTAGAATCACTCGCAAGGGCACTCCATTGGCCAGTCAGCGCACTCCCCCCCCACATGCTCTCCCCCCCAACACTTCCTCTCCTCCTCCCCTTTGCCCCCCCACCAAGCCCCTCCCCCTGTCCCTCTCGCTCCAACCTCCCCAACACCCCCTCCCCCGCTCCCCCTCCCCTTCCCACGCCATATCCCCCTGCTCCTCCCCCACACTCGTCCCACACCATCCCCTCGTCCCCCTCCCCTTCCCCCTCCCCTTCCCCCTCCCCTTCCCCCTCCTCCCCCCACACAGGCAAATCCCCCTCCCCCACACTCACCAATCCCTCATCAAAAGGCGCCACACTCACAGTACACACACTAGGCACACACCCATGCCCCAACCCCATCCCTTCTATCACCACCCGAGGCACCAACCCTAACTCTCCCTGCCGCTGCCAGAACCTCTCCCTTCTCTCCACCTCCTCCTCTCTCACTCTCGCCATCTCCTCTGCCACCTGCTGTGCCCGCCCCATATACCCCATCCCGAACCCTTTTCTGCGGGCGATTTCCCCTATACAATCCGCGTAAGCCCCTCTTAAAGCCCGGGCGGAGGCGAGGAGCGAGAAGAGCGCGTCTTGGCGGGAAATCGCTTCTCTGAACGCGTGCAGGCGGTTTCGGAATCCACGAACCCGGGACTGCCACCTGGCGACGGCCTGCATGCGCGTGTGGACGAGATTCGTCATAGCGATCTTGCTGGCGCGCGCTGATTGGACGAGAGCCGCGAGGTGCGAATCGATGGCTGAGATCCGCGGGAGGAGGGAGGAGGAATGGACGGTGCAGATTGGGTCTAGGGCAGCAACGGCTTCGATTGGTTGGAGGTGCGGGGAGGAGGAGGAGGAGGAGGTGGAGGAGGAGGAGGAAGGGGAGGAAGAAGGGGAGGGAGGGGGGAGGAGGCGGGAAGGGGAGGCGGAGGGGGAGAAGGAGGGGGAGGAGGAGGAGGAGGAGTGGGTAACTGAGACCGTGCAGTCGTGTAGCAGCTGCCTCACTGTGTTGAGATCCTTGCTGGGGGGAGGGGGAGAGGGGAGAGGGCGGGGGAACGGCGAGGGGGAAGAGCGGATGGGAGGGGAGGGGGAAAGGCAGGGGGGGATGAAATGTGGCGCATGAGAGCGTTCAGTCGTGTAATAGCTGCCTCATTGTGTTGAGATCCTGGATAGGAGATGAGAGAGGGGGGACGAAGGACAGAGGAGGAGATATGGCGCATGAGAGAGTGCGGTCGTGGGGAGCTGCCACACTGTGTTGGAGTCATTGCTGGGGGGGGAGGGAAAGAGGAAGGGAGGAAGAACAGGATGAGACAACTGAACCCAGCGGAACTCAACTCAACCGAGAACGCCAAGGATGACTTGTTGCTCCTCCAGCAACCGGTGCTCCTCCTCCACCATCCCCGATGCTCACAAGAACTGCGAAAGGCATTGAGCTCAGCCCTAGATAATGAACACAACACGCTCCCAGACGCAACTCAACTCACCCGAGAACGCCAAGGATGACTTCTTGCTCCTCCAGCAGCCGGTGTCCCTCCTCCACCATCCCTTCCACTTCCCGCACCACCTCCGCCTCCCTCCGCCGCCCTTCCGCGCCCGCGTTTGCGCCCGCGGCCCCTGCAGCAGCATCAGCCGAAGGTCCGCTGACTGCAGTTTCTCCGCTTCCCCCTCCCCCGCCGCCTATCAGCTCCTCGATTCCCGCCCGCGTGTCTTGAAACTGCTGCTCCAGCTCAGCGACCTTCGTGGCCATCTGAGCGTGCGCCACGTGGCACTCCGAGAACGCCTGCTGCAGCCGCGGCTCCTTGGCCAGTTGCACGAGGCTCTGCCACCCGGTTGCCGCCCGGACGGGCGCCAGTAAACGACAAGAGTGCAACGCGCGGAGGTTCCGGTGGAAGGTTCGCAGAAGGAGCTCGTGACGGCTGTACTGCTGCTTATACGAAGATTGAAAATCCGCAAACGATGTGACTATATGGAGGGCCATGGCCTCCATGCTGGCAGATCCGGAACGGACGGCTTCTGCTTGCGTGTGCTGCTCCTGCAGGAGCCGCCGACACGTGTCGAAACGCGATTGGCTGGCGGCGAGATACGCCTGAGCCTGTAACAGATCTTGACGAAACTGCCGTTCGTAGGAGGGAATGGCTCGGAGGAGCGGGTTACCCGACCGGTCTAACGGATGTAACGGCTCGCCGCCAGGCTCACCCACCGTTATAATCAATTCTGGTACACTTATTTCCTCGATTTCTTCTACCGCGGGAGGAGGAGATTTTGGAAGGAGGCGCATCTTATTGAAAAGAAAGACTGGGCGGGAGTGTCCGTGAGATGCGGAGCGCGACGTGTCGACCGCGCCTGCTGTGTCATTGATACTGCTGTCCACGTCAGCATCGGGAAGTTGATACGCTCCGAGTTGCCGTCCGGGCTCGAGGCGCACGTCGCGGCAGATTAAGAGCTGGTCCTGAGGAGGTATGGCGGTTAGGGAGGCGAGAGTATCGCAGACAGAATCTACCGGCGTGTCCGCGCCGCAGTGGAGTTCGAACGACCTACCGCTCTCTGCCACGTGTACCAGCAACATGGCGACTCGACTATTTTTGCGACGTGTCAAGGTATTAATTCATATATATACACGATAAGTACTCTGAACAGAATCGCCGAGGACTAGCCCAAAGGCTCGCAGCTGGAAGCAACAACAACGAGAACCGAATCTGGCTTACGAAATATATCGCCACTTCGGAGCGCTACACTTCGTAGCAGTCGAAATTTCAATCCAAGCCGTTTGATTGTCATTCCTCTCGCGGAGTTGGCTGCTGAGGAAGTGGACTCGCATGCATACTCGCATAATTGGGGAAGCAATGGCGGCTGCGTTATGAACTTCTGATGAAAAAGCCAATCGCAAGAAGCTGTTGATGAATATGTAAAGCGCAGTCGTAAATCTTCACACACCAGGTTTGTGAGGCAGTTCGGCAGGGTAGGATGAAATAGAAAACGACAGGGTGGAAGTTTGAACCACAGCAAGGCAAAAATGATGAATCGAGCTTCTCATGTGGAAGTTCCAAGGCAGGTTCCGAACAATGAATCCAGCCTGTAGTGAAGCCTCGGCCGAGCGTAACACTCACTCTTTGCCTGCCAGATGGCACTATTGTGGTTCGGTCTTACGTAATAGTGAGACGTTTGGAACCAATGAGAGAGATCAAAGCTTGTGGTTTGATGGTTTGGTAATCGTGTGGTGAACCTCCTGTCTTGCCACGGCGAAATGGCTTTCTGCTGCAGACGTGAGGTTCACGGAACTTGACGTGTCAGTTGTTACACGTTGAACTCTGTCTGGCGGGCAAATTTCGTCAGCCTTCGTCGCGATCATCGAGACACAAATTTTTCCAATCACTAGTCAGAAGCAAGAACAGCGACACGTCAGAAAGAGCGCTTCTGTGGTGAGCAGGACGCAGGTTTTGGGGTTGGCAGAGTGGCAAATCAATGTTTACCACCTTGATTGGACGAGCTCCATCGACCAATCGACGAGGTGCAATCGGGAAGGGGGGGAGGCAAACACTCGACAAGGAAGAGTCCACTAAAGCTGTGTAATCAACCTATCATCAATAATTTTCCTTATTGCTTACACCACAACTGACAATAGCAAGAGTGTGCCACCAGCCACACTTGACATCTTGCACGTGCACATTATGCTCGTACATTCTTTTTTTACTACCGGTACCGGCTCTGTATTTGTCGCCACATTTCTGGTCAAACTTCTTCATGGTAGCCGCATGAGGGGAGTGAGTGTCTTTCGTATGACCAAGTCCCAGCTGTCATGATCACAATGAAAAGAATTTACAACATGTTTAGATGGACCACAAAGAACATGAGCTGTCAGTTGCACACATGGGTGAATGAATACACCTTGTGAGTGGGGATCAATGCATGCGGGTTGGGTTCGATGCACAACAAACGGGTGCAAGGCGAGACAAACATAAATATCAAAAAGGGTTGTATGCATGGAAGCGATGGGTGAAACCTAGAACCATGAAGATTGGGCTTAGATGCACGAGAAAGTGTACCACACACACCTGTCCAAACTTAATGCAGCCCCATAAGAGAGATGACCGTCGGTGGTGAGAACAGACTTTTGAGATGTCTCAAAACACACACCCCTGCCCAAACTTGTTGGAGCCCCAGACAAATGGTGACAGCCGAGTTACGAGGTCTCAAAACACACACACACACACACACACACACACACACACACACACACACACTCACACACACACACACACACACACTCACGCACGCACGCACGCACGCACGCACGCACACACACACACACACACACACACACACACACACACACACACACACACACACACACACACACACACACACACACCTGCCCAAACTTGTTGGAGCCCCAGACGAAAAGAGTGCCGTTGGTGGTAATAGCGGCCGAGTGCCGTGCTCCACAGGAGATCCCTTTCAGCGAACAATTGTCCAGATCTGGAGAATCCAGTAGCGTTGGAAACACCTGACAGGGCAATAGACACGGGCACACATACGCACAAACACAGGAGGGGAACAAACAGAGACAGCAAGTCAGTGACACGTGATAGGGGAAGGAGGACGATGCACAAACAAGAGAAGACATGTGACACACACTCAAGAACATGATGACAACAAGAGCAACAACAAGAGCATTAACACGTTCACAATAACCCTGGTAATGCTGGTTTGGTAACGGTGGTTGTTTACACCTTAGCTGCCGTGTCTCCAGTGCCCAGCTGGCCAAACTGATTGCCTCCCCAGCTGTACACGTCACCGCCTTCCAGTTCCACGTCAGCACCGTCCACCTCCACGTCAGCATCACCACCACTGACATCACCACCAGTAGCGGCACCACGGCCACAGATTGAGCCAGCAGGGAGGGCGAGGGCGAGGGAGTGCCAGAGGCCAGCAGCGATGGCTGTCACTGTGAGGCCAGAGAAGGAGGAGATGCGGGTGGGGGAGAGATGGTCGCTTGACGTGCCGTGGCCACACTGGGGGGGATATGACCGTGAGGGTAGTAGGAGGTGAAAAGGGGTGAGAGGGGGTGAGACATAGAAAGCACCAAAAACAGCAGCAGCACCAGATTTACCACCAATGGCATCAGCAGCACCAAGAGCAGCAGCAGCAGCAAGTGAGGTGGCAGGGAGGGCGAGGGCAAGGGAGTGCCAGAGGCCAGCAGCGATGGCTATAACTATGAGGCCAGAAAAGGATGCGATGCAGGTGGGGGAGAGATGGTCGTTTGACGTGCCGTGGCCACACTGGGAACGAGAGGTGGTTGGTGTGGGTAGTAGGGGGTGAAAAGGGGTGAGAGGGAGTGAGACATTGCAAGCATAAAAAAAACAGCAGCAGCGCCAGATTTACCACCAGTGGCATCAGCAGCACCAGCAGCAGCAGCAGCAGCAGCAGCGGTGAGAGAGGTGACAAGGTGGGTGGGGGCGAGGGAGTGCCAGAGGCCAGCAGCAATGGCTACCTGCCCACGACATAGCAGCCTGCAAAACCAGCAATGCACAGCGTACTTGCATACCTGCCCATACTGGCCCCATCCAAAGGAGAAGAGCGAGCCATCCTCTGGCATGGCACATGAGAGAGGAGACACATGAGGGAGGAGGGGGAGATGGAAGGGGGGGATGGGAGGAGAGGGGGGAGAGGGGGAGTGGGACGGGGAGGAGGCAGAGTGGGGGGAGGGGAAGGGGGATGGGGAAGGGGATGGGCAGGGGGAATGGGAGGGGAAGGGGGAAGATCTTGGGACGGGACATGGGAGAATGGAGAAGGAACAAAAGAAAGGACGAGCCGCAACATTTGCCCGTGCCCTTGCCTGCCCCTGTGTTTGCCTCTCTGCCTCTGCTTCTGCTTGTGTTCACGTTGCCAAGTTGCTCCCCACCCTTCCCCCCACCCTTCCCCCCACCCACCTGCCAGCACCAGGCTGTGCCTTCCTCCACACGCCACTGCTGTTGCTTGTAACGAGTCATCTCTAGCAGCACAATCTGCCACAGCGGATGTGCTAATAACGGATGCTGCAGGAGCAGCGGGCAGCATCACGCACACAGGAACTGTCACATTCCCCACCCGCCTGCCAACTCCCAGCTGCCCCTCACCCCCCTCGCCCCACGCCCACACCATTCCGCTGCCTGCTGTGGGTAAAGAGAGGAGAGGGGGGGGGAACCGGTGGGAGAGGAGGAGTGCGTGTGGTCTGATTTGAACCCCCAGCTGCCCCTCACCCCCCTCGCCCCACGCCCACACCATTCCACTGCCTGCTGTGGATGAAGGGTAGAGGGTAGAGGGGGCAGGAGGAAGAGAGGAGTTTTGTGTGTGCGGGTTTGACTTGAGCTTCCTGCTGCCTCTCACACCCCTCACCCCCCTCGCCCCACGCCCACACCATTCCAATGCCTGCTGTGAGTGGTAGACAGCGAAAGGGGAGGGGGGGAGTAAAGGGGTAGAGAGGGGGGAAGGGTAGATGTTTTTGAGACGTGTCATGGCGACGAACTAGGTTATCAGGTCACAAGACATGCCGACAGCCTGAGAGAGAGAATGAGGAGATCGAGGGCAGGGGGTGGGAAGAGAATAGCAGCACACAGCACAAGGGACACCTGATCAATCACCTGAGAGGGCGAGGCAATGGCGGAGGCCAAAAGAGATGTGAGAGACGCTGACCCAGTGGGGAAGCGAGGGGAGGAGGGGATGGCATGGCAGGAGCAAACAGCATAACAGGCAGGCACCTGAAAAACCACCTGAGAGCGCCAGGCAATGGCGGAGGCCAACAGAGACCGACGTGATGGTGTCCCCATGGGAAAGCAAGGGGGGGAGGGGATAGCAGCAGCACACAGCACAGCACAGAAGGTACCTGAAAATTCACCTGAGAGCGCGAGGCAATGCTGGAGGCCCACAGAGACGGAGGTGATGGTGACCCAACGAGGAAGCGATGGGAGGAGAGGAAGGCAGGCGTCAGCAGAGGTGGGATGTCTGCTGCTAGTGGAAGCATGTGCCGTGGGGCTGAGCTGTGGTGCAGAGAGGTCTTGGTGTGATGATGTAGGGGTGTGATGTGGTGCTGTGGGGTTGTTATTCACTGCATGAACACGCTGCTGTGCAATAGTAGCAGGGGCAACGTCCCACTGCATTAGTCGCCCTGATGCTGCAGATTGCAGGGGCAAAGGGCAAGCGAGGTGTGACGGATATGGATGGGGCGAGGTGGGGATGTTGTAGCGGCCTGTGTGGGGTGAGGAGGATTTCAGTTTGGAACTGAAGGGTCAATGTCTTGTAGCCTTATTCGGTTCACTTAAGATAACAGGAAACGGTGTAAGATAAAATCGTTCACTAGGTTACAGTCACTGGTATGTATTTCAACACGACACGCCACCACCGCAGCACAACAGACGGACTGACTCCCTCTCGGGTTTCACTCACCAGAAACGAAGACACCCACATCTTGCGAGCACTCGCCACCTGTCACACACTCATTGGCCGGTTGCCTGTCCCATCGAACAGCATAAAGACGAGTCCTGCGACTTGCTGCTCCAGTCAACTCTTCCTCCCCTTCCCGCACCTCGGCTTCCTCCCCCTCCATTTCCTGCCGCTTCCCTTCCCGCCGAATCACCCCCTCCTCAAAATTGTCCACTCTTCTGTCGCTGCCGGTTGTCTGATTCTTTTGCTGCGCCTCGTTCTGCTGCTTCCCGTCTTGCTGCTCCCTCTCCTGATGTTCCTTCTCTTGCTGCTTGCTGCCATGCTCGCGCCGCTCTTTATGCGTTTCTTCAGATGATGCCTGCTTCGTACCACGCTGCTCAGTCACCTGCCACACAAAACCATTGCCTGAAGGCACTATGTCATGTCATGCCATGTCAGCCGGCCACTATGCCATGTCAGCTGGCCAATATGCCATGTCAGCCGGCCACCATGCCATGTCAGCCGGCCACCATGCCATGTCAATCGACCACCATGCCATGACAGCTGGCTACCGTGCCATGTCAACCGGACAACATGACATGCGAGCCGGACACCAAGACACGCGCGCCTTCTTCGCTCTTAGATTGATGCGTGAATTGATTCGTGAATTGATTCGTGAATAGACGCCTGAGAATCTGGCTACACTACAAGCATTTTTGCACGAATGCTGGAATATCGCTACACGGATCTATGACTCAGAGTCGGAATCGCTCGTAGCGCAGACGAGCCAAAAGCCAATGCGGTCCCGCAGCTTACCATCTCCAGCCAATGCGGTTCCGCAGCCTCCGCCTGCTAGAAACCGCCACGTGGGGTGCTCCCATTCGCCATTCTCACCCTGCACCTTGATCTCCTCGAAGTTTGGCACTACACACGCGTTAATGGACATCGCGTTACTTGCACCACTAGAACCCCGAAGCCGGTCCCGTACGTGCTCGTTATGAACAGAGCCGCCCTCATCTCCGTTAGTAAACGACCCGTTTGGCAATTGAGAGGCGAGGAATCCGGCGAAGAACAAACGCGAAGAGGAGCGGCTGGAAGCCTGTCTCTGACAACGCATGACTGAGGCTAAGGTTAACCGCAAGTGCTAAGCATCAGCCGAGTTCTAAAGACGCGAACAGCAGACGATGCAGAAAGAGGGACTGGTTGACGCGAGGAACGACAACTGATGGTTCTTCGCTCCCTGCTGGTTAGCTAATTTAATGGCTGGTGAATGTAGAATCTCAATGGCTGAAGTTTGAATGCATCTACTACTGCTGAAAGTAGAATCCACATGGGGGTGAATTTAGTGGATGCCTGCTGACTACGCGTGGGAAAGGAGTGTCTCTGTGAAGGCATGGGAAATTGGTCTCTCCACCGTAGCGCAACTCTTTGGACCGTACCCTACCGTGGCTATCCCACGGTATTTCCTAGAGAACTGCACCACTGGACAGAGTTAATCTCATAGAATTAACACTTCAGATTCTTCGTTCAGGATAATACTAAAGCATTAAAAAGGGAACTTGCTGCATGCAGTACAAGCTAAAAAGGAGAATCACAAAGAAATAGATTGAACGAGCAGTCACCGAAAACAACAATTATTCGCTACTCTATTTGCAGGTGCCCTCTCCATAGCACGAAGGGCACCTGGAAAATCAATTAACGCCAACGTACCCTCCACTTCGCTCCATCGTACCTCCACACATATCCGCTTCTGCCATTTTCCTCTGTCATTTCCCAGATCTAGCTTCTGACATTGGCATCAGCGCTCACAACAGACGAAGGGTACGTGGCACCATTGCCATTTTCAGTAGGCGCTGCAAGGGGCTGTGAACCCGTGGCGGGCAGGGAGGCGGAGCGGGACGGGGAGGCGGGGATGCTCTGGCCGGCAGGGCGGTCGCGCTTCTTGAGAGCGCGCTGCTTGGCAGGGTCCACCTTGGGCGGCACAGTGAAGCCACCCATCTGCCGGAACTTGTTCACGCGCTCACAGATGATTCGCTGCTCGTCCTTCTGCACAAGGTCCTGCTTGGGATAAGGTTAAGGGAAAAGGTTGGGGAAAGAACAAACAGGCAAACACAGAACCACAAATGGGAAAGAGGGAAAAGGAGGAGTCAGAGAATGATAGATAATTATTTGTGAGATCAGTTATAATTTTGGATTAAATTAATCGGTTACTTGGGGTCAGAATAATCAGTTAAATCAAAGAGGGGGAACGGGTTGCAAGATGAGGCGAGGACACGATGAAAGATGGGGAAATGATGGTGAAGTGAGGAATGATGGGGGAAGTTAAGCAGGAAACAATGGGGTGCTAAACAACCGGTGAAAGCAGAAGAACAGGTCGTGGGAAAAGAAGGGGGCGATGATGGCAGGAAAGGATGTGAGAAAAGGGTGGGGGGGAAGGAGGCATGGGGCATGGAGATAATGCCACTGGCAAGGGATGCATGATTGAAGACACAATTGCTTTGTCCGTCATCATCAGGTCCCGTGGTCATTATGCATCCAGTGCCATCATCATCTTCATGCCCCATGCCTCTAGATCTACAGGTGATGTGTGTAACAAGTTGACCACCATCACCTTGTCACACACATCACCCCACAAGCCTCCTTTTCTCTCCGCACAAACCTCTCTTTCGCTCCTCACAAGCTCCTATTCTCTTCTCCCAACACCTCTCTCCCCCTTGCCCCACCTTCATGTGCGCCATGATGGAAGCCTTGATGGCCATCGACGTGGCCATGTGGTCGTTGTGTTGTGCACTCCTCCCAGAAGTGCGAATCCCCGTGTTATCATCCTGATGTCACACTTTCTGCCTCACAAGCCTCTCGCCTCACAAGCATCTCTCTTTCTCTCCTCCCACCCCCCACCTTCATGTGCGCCATGATGGAGGCCTTGATGGCCATCGACGTGGCCATGTGATCGTTGTGTGCCCCACCAAGGGGTTCCTGAAGCGAGAGGAGGTGGAAAAGGAGAGAAGGAAAAGCTGGGTGAGGAAGAGTAACCGGAGGAGAGGCGGCCAAATGAGAAAGGACAAGGGGGAGGAGGCTCAAAGGGAAAGGGAATATGGAGGGGTCAAGGGCGGGTGGAAGAGGGAGAGAAGGGGGGGAGAGGAGGGGGGGGGGGGCGGAGGGGGGGGGGGGTCCATGAGCACTACATAGGGCAGGAGAAGCATACTAAGGAAACGAGCAGGGTGGGTACACACCTGGATAATCTCGTCCACGACGCCCAGCTGCTGCAGCTGATCCGCTGTGATGCGCAGCGCCTCCGTGGCCTGGTGGTCCGTGGGATGGCGGGATGGTGGGGAGATGAGACAAGCACCGGCGGCGGAATAAGAACGGTTGACATGTCAAGCAAATGGCAGAGAGAGCAGAGAAGGCAGCAGGGGGCAGCCATAGGTTGAAACGACTACCGAAACGTAAGGAGGTCCACAACTTGGTGAAGGGGAATGACTTCATTAGCCGTTTGAGTTGACTCAGAAAGTAACAGTATCCGGTTCCTGGATTGAGTTATTTTCATGCTCTCTGTGCCAGAGATGCATCAGGTTGGGTTGGGTTGGGTTGGGTTGGGTTCGGTTTAATTCAGTGAGCGACTCACCTTGGGAGCGGCAGCGGCAGTCTTCCAGAGAATGGCCGCACACGCCTCAGGGCTGCACATGGGGTGGTGCAATAAGAGAGAACACGCACATGCACACATAATCACACACACCAATGCACAAACACAAATGCACACAACCACACAGATCCACCTATCCGCATATGCTCAAATCAGACACACACGCACCGCAGCACACAACAAAGAGCAGGAGTCTCGTCAGTGTCTGCGTGGGGGAGGAGAAGGAGTACACTGCCTGACTACTTCCCATTCTCAATCCCTCTTCATTTGCAGATTCTGAAGGACAAGTACGTACATATTTTGTGGGGCCCTTAGGACATCATAAAGCAACGATTTAAGCGTTGTGTAGGCAGAAACTGCTAAAAACCCCATATTAAATACATTGTAACCACCATTAGCGAATACACCAAAGCAAAACGAGAAATTAAAACATCATACCTGGCAACGAAGTACACTGCGTTTTCGAGCATGAGCATCTTGTTGCAGCAGCCAATAGCGAGAGCGCCACCAGAGCCGCCCTCTCCAATCACCACACTGACTGACGGCACCTTGAGCCCAAACATCTCCCTCAGGTTGTGCGCAATGGCTTCGCCCTGGCAACAGGAGGGGAGGGGGTCGGGAAGCGGGGAGAGGGAACGGAGAATGATGCTTCAGACGGAGGCAGAGTCACCACACTGATTGACGGCACCTCGAGCCCAAACATCTCCCGCAGGTTGTGTGCAATGGCCTCGCCCTGGGAGGAGAAGGGAAAGGAAAACGGGAATGGAACTTTGAACGGAGGCAAAGGCAGGAAGCAGGTGGGACAGGAAAAAAGGATAGGTGTTTGAGTGGGGAGACGTAGATGGCACGGTGAAAAGGGAGAAAGACAGGGATGGTTGAGAAGCATGGCAGTTCAGGCGCCGTACGTAGAACGACACTTTCACCTGTGCTGTGCCTACTACCTCAGGCAACCTAGACGAAGTGTCTAGCATATGCTAATTTTATTTTCTGAAACGCCCTCCCTTCTCCGAGTTCGTTGTGAGACTCCAGCACAGCCACCAGACATGCCAGCAGCACCGCGTGAAGCGCAGCGTTGTATACCACCCTTCAACGCCCAAGATTACCCTTTCACCTGTTCAACTGCGCCATTAACGCCAGATTACCTGTTCACTTTCCCAACTCCCCACAGTTTGGCCTCTCTACCTGTCCGAGCTCCTCAGCCGTGACGCCAGCATACGCGCCGGGCGTGTCGACGAATGTGATGATGGGCAGCCCGTGGTGGTCCGCGTGGCGCATCATGCGCAGCGCCTTGCGGTACCTGATGTGCGGGCGGGGGTGAGGGGGGAGGGAGGGGGGGAGAGAGGGGAACGTGGGGGGAAAGAGGGCTAGCAGTCAACGGCCGAGGATTCAATAGCTGGGGATCCGGCAAAGGTTATTTTAGCAAGCGCAAGAGCCGGAAGGGACGCAAGCGCGCTGTCATGCCGAGTGCAAGCAGCGGGGACATGCAAACGGATGGAGAGAGAGAGAGAGAGAGAGAGAGAGAGAGAGAGAGAGAGAGAGAGAGAGAGAGAGAGAGAGAGAGAGAGAGAGAGACATGCAACAAGGCACAAAGCTAGAGCGCTGGCCACCGCGCTCGTGCGCGGACATGCAACGAGATGGCGCAGCGCTCGACTTTGAACATACAGGAACAACATTCCGCGGTAGCACGCGGACATGCTGCGGGAGTCAGCTAGTGCATTCGCGCAAGCGCTGACCCACGCACGCCAAGTCTACACCAGCCAGCAGGCGTTCGCCTGGACTCTCACACACACCCCCTCCCTCCCCATCCATTCGTGCCTCTCTCTCTCTCTCTCTCTCTCTCTCTCTCTCTCCCTCTCTCTCTCTCTCTCTCTCTCTCTCTCTCTCTCTCTCTCTCTCTCTCTCTCTCTCTCTCTCTCTCTCTCTCTCTCTCTCTCTCTCTCTCTCTCTCTCTCTCTCTCTCTCTCTCTCTCTCTCTCTCTCTCTCTCTCCTCCCTCCCTCCCTCCCTCCCTCCCTCCCTCCCTCCCTCCCTCCCTCCCTCCCTCCCTCCCTCCCTCCCTCCCTCCCTCCCTCCCTCCCTCCCTCCCTCCCTCCCTCCCTCCCTCCCTCCCTCCCTCCCTCCCTCCCTCCCTCCCTCCCTCCCTCCCTCCCTCCCTCCCTCCCTCCCTCCCTCCCTCCCTCCCTCCCTCCCTCCCTCCCTCCCTCCCTCCCTCCCTCCCTCCCTCCCTCCCTCCCTCCCTCCCTCCCTCCCTCCCTCCCTCCCTCCCTCCCTCCCTCCCTCCCTCCCTCCCTCCCTCCCTCCCTCCCTCCCTCCCTCCCTCCCTCCCTCCCTCCCTCCCTCCCTCCCTCCCTCCCTCCCTCCCTCCCTCCCTCCCTCCCTCCCTCCCTCCCTCCCTCCCTCCCTCCCTCCCTCCCTCCCTCCCTCCCTCTCTCTCTCTCTCTCTCTCTCTCTCTCTCTCTCTCTCTCTCTCTCTCTCTCTCTCTCTCTCTCTCTCTCTCTCTCTCTCTCTCTCTCTCTCTCTCTCTCTCTCTCTCTCTCTCTCTCTCTCTCTCTCTCTCTCTCTCTCTCTCTCCTCTCTCTCTCTCTCTCTCTCTCTCTCTCTCTCTCTCCTCTCTCTCTCTCTCTCTCTCTCTCTCTCTCTCTCTCTCTCTCTCTCTCTCTCTCTCTCTCTCTCTCTCTCTCTCTCTCTCTCTCTCTCTCTCTCTCTCTCTCTCTCTCTCTCTCTCTCTCTCTCTCTCTCTCTCTCTCTCTCTCTCTCTCTCTCTCTCTCTCTCTCTCTCTCTCTCTCTCTCTCTCACGCACTCACCCGTTGGGCGTGGGCATGCCAAAGTTGCGGTAGATGTTCTCCTTGGTGTTGCGCCCCTTCTGGTGCCCCATGAACATGAAGCTCATCAATTGACCATATGGCGTCAAACCAGCCAGCGCCTCACAGGGGGGGGGGGAGCAGCTCGCAGGGTGCAAACCAGCCGCAGAAGAGCCACCGCAGCGACGCACTCACCCGTTGGGCGTGGGCATGCCGAAGTTGCGGTAAATGTTCTCCTTGGTGTTGCGCCCCTTCTGGTGCCCCATGAACATGAAGCTCATGCCGTCCATGCGCCCGATGCCGCACACCAGCGCCGGGTCGTCGTAGCCCCCGCGGTCGCCGTGCAGCTCCACCCACTGCGGGAGTGGGGAAGGGGGATGGGAGGGGGTGGGGGGAAAGACGTGCGGTTATGGGAAAGCGCGGAGGAGAAGATGCACCAGCGCCGGGTCGTCGTAGCCCCCCCGGTCGCCGTGCAGCTTCACCCACTGCGAGGAGAAGGGTAGCGGGGAGGAAGAAAAGGGGGGAGAGGGACACGCGTGCAGGGATAAGGGGGAAGGGGAAACGACGGGGAGAGGGGAGAAACGAAGGGGAGATGCAGGAGAGCCGGGTCGTCGTAGCCGCCGCCGTCGCCGTGCAGCTCCACCCACAGCGGGAGAGGATAGCGCGGTCGGACGGGAGGGGACATGCGCGGAGAGGAGGCCAGACGGGAAAGCGCGCGGAGAGGAAGGAAACCGAAAGGTAAAGTGCGCAGAGAGGAAGGAAACCGGAAGGAAAAGTGCGAGGAGAGCAAGGAAACTGGAAGGGAAAGTGCGAGGAGAGGAAGGAAGCGGAAGGTAGATGTAAGAACTGCCGGGCCGTCGCAGCCCAGGGGCCGCCGTCCAGCTCCGCTCACTGGGGCCGGCGCTAGCGCACCCGAAAGGGGGGGGAGCGAGCGAAAGCGGGGGCAATTGATACGCAAGAGGAAACGAACAAGCGAAAGAGCGAGCAACCGAACGAAAAGGGGGGGAGGAGGGGGGGGGGGGGGGGTATACATAGGACACCAGTAAGAGGGGAAGCACGATAAATGTCTGAGCATAAGCATGGACATCAGGGAAGGGGGACGCGAAAACGAAACGAGCGATGGACGAAATAGCTTTTGGCAAAGCATCGGTGTGTAGAAAGAGATGCAGTTGGAATTCCATGTGCATCAAGAACAGAGACATCCGGACGCTTAGCGAGGAAGCTGTGAGCGAGGATAAGCTCACCTTGTCAGTCATGTTGAGGACATGGTCCAAGAAAGTGGGACGGTTGGGGTGACGCGCCACGCTGAGCCGCTGAACCGGAGTTATTCTCGCGTAGATGTCGCGCTTCAGCTGAAGGAGCGAAGAACGCGCGGGCGGGAGAGGGATAGAGGGAGAGACACAGCCGAGAATGGGGAGAAGGGGAAGGTGAAGGGTGAGGACCCGGGTCCAGAGTGTGGTGCGAATATTTAGTTGGCGGAAAGCGATAAGATGAAGGTAGGAATAGGAAACGGAACAAAGAAACCAAAACAAAAAAGGTACAGGAATCCGCCAAAGTCAGCAAAAAGGTAGCGCGACTACTTGAAAAACCAACAGCGCTGTTCAAATACCAGACATGGACCCGTAAGAGTTGATTAATTGGCCTCAACTGTCTCACCTGCTCGTACTTGTCCTGCAGCTCCTGCACCTGGTCCGTGAAGTCCATGCCAGTCTTATCCGCCAGCTGGCGAACCTGGGGAGGCACACATTAACATTCACAGGCAGTCACAAACGCAGTTACAGCCGAAGTCACCGGAGAACGATGGGAGTAGTGGTGAGAGGAAGAATCAAAAGCCATGAGATGACGCATGGAGCCGCGACTTCCAATACACGGAGAATTCAGCATGCGATTTCGTCAGCTACTATTTGGTGCAGCTCAATCAAGAAGGTAGAAGTCAGTCAATGCGGAAACCTGACAAACGCTCGAGGTTTTGCGATGCACGACTGTTCAAGTTTCAGCGCCAGAAAATTTTTGTCTAAATTCGCGTCTTTATCTAATTAATATCTATTTACCTCCTCAATTTTCTTCTCGAGGTCGACCAGCGGTTTCTCGAACGGAAGCGCCATCGGCTTGGTGGGCTTGGCTACGTCCTTAAACTTGGACAGGAACGCCAGAAACCCCTTCTCTTCCGCATTGTACTTATCCGGCCACGGGTAGTCCGGGTCTCTCGGAGCTCTCTTAGTCTTCAAAATCTTTGCCTGGATCTGCAGCTTCTGAGGGGCAGAGCCTCCTGGCAAGATCTGACCGGCTGGAAGAGCCTTGGGAATTGGTAGGCTAACGGAATTCGAGCTCCTTAGGGATTGTCCGAGAGCATCGCCGTGAAGGGATCGAACGGCGGGGAGCTGCGAGGCAGCACGGATCGGCGAACACACCGACATGGCTTCCATTTCGGTGTTCAGCAGAGAAACACTAGGAACCCAATGGACCTAGGTGCTGTGGCTCGTTACCAGTCTGAAACTCCGGAAATTAGTTCCTGAAAACCCAATTTCCACAGTTCCGTGAATATGCTGGACCAATGAATCAGGAAACGATCAGGGCCAGGTCGGCTGAAGAAATGGGTGTTTCAGAGAGGAAGGAGAAACAGAAGAGGGAAGGACTTGGTCGAGGAGTGAGAGGAAGGGGGGATTTCCAAGGTTCGGCAATCCCTAGAGTCTTCGTCCATCCTCGTCAGAGTCTACACTCTGATGTGCGTGAAGCTCATACCGATACGGTGCAACCTCCTTGCTGTAACCGCAGCACAAGTTGTTCATGTGAGGCGGGAAAGGGGAGGAGAGATCGAGGGAAGGGGAATGGCCAGGAATTGGCGATTGGCGTTGCTGACGGTTGGATGACAGGAGATCGACAGTGAATCTCTCTTGGCCCTTGGATCGCTCGTCAGATGAAGCGATAACGAAGCCAACCTCTTGGGAGACACGCGGGGCGACAGATTCCACGACAGATGACTCGTGCGACAGGTCATATCCTTGTTTCGCAAGTAGCAATTTCGAGATCGGAACCGTCGAATAGTAAAAGGGATGCTTTTCGAGATTGCGACGTGATGAAGTGGCTGGATCTGACCAAACACGTGGCAGGTCGATTATCGGGTCGAGTTTGTGTGGGGAATTCAGGCTTAAAACCATTGTGTTTATGTACAGTCGGTCGAACGCAAGTGCAATGTACCATATGCTTCTTTTCTATCGGGGATCATAATAGAAAGCGGACAATAGATGATGATACAAGTCATATATATAGGGTTCAGAGCATATAATGTAGTAGTGTGACCAGATCACAGACTCAAATTAATGTAATGCATCAATATGTAATGAGAACGTACATCACTTTATAACAGCTTTTGGATATTGATTGTTGGGAATCAATATGTTGGGCTTACGTGGAGATGCTTAAAAAGTGGTTCTGCCTTCCCCACCTCCACCTGCCATTGCCCCAATGTCGGATTGTTTTGTGTTCAGACATGCGGACACGAATCCGTGCTGCAGCCATCTATCACCCAATGAACGTAAACGATTCCCTTGTTGCTGCGTGACTCAGCTTAGTCGTCCAATCATACAGCAATGACAGCTTACAACAACCAGAGATTCCTGCCTCCCCCATTAGGGCGCTTCCGGAATGAACTTTTTGAAAAGCTGTACCGTCTGAAGTGCCCCAACCGCGTAGAACCAAAGCGTAACCACAGCCAAACGATTTTCACCGTAATCGGATGGGGCGGTAACTCGTTGTCAGAAGTTGCGCCTGTTGAGGCAATTCCCAGGTAGAGCAGTAGTTGTTGGCTGGTGAATGAAGTTCCAAGATATCAGAATCATACCAACTCTCATAACCACTCTTGTGTCTGCCGTTGTGTGAGTCCAGACCGTCCTGAAGCCCAGGCTATTCCCGTCTGTCGCACTCATTTCGTGGGCTTCTCCGGCAGCAGGCTTAGAACTTCCCTCTATAAGGTGTCTACCATTCGAGAACGTTTGCAGGCAGTTATTCCGAGCAGTAGACCCTCTGGTGCCAACTGTTCACCATGACTGTCATTGGTAGAGCTCTCCCGCTTCTCAGGCGGATGATGTCCACGTCAGCAGCACCAGTACCTCGAAAAGTGACGGTTTTGGGAGCTGCTGGCGGCATTGGCAATCCTCTGAGCCTGCTGCTGAGAATGAATCCGCTAGTAACGGATCTGGCTCTGTATGACGTCACGGGCATGCCTGGAGTGGTTGCTGACCTCAGCCACATCTGCACGAGAACCAAGGTGATTAGACTTTGAACCAGAGTCACTGATTCCGTTAGAGACGTTCAAATGTCAGCCACATCTGCGCGAGACCCAAGTAAATGGACTTAGATCCAAAGCCACTGATTTCGAAACGATTAATGCACCAATTTTTATTTTTATTTTATCAGCTGAGCCTTCCTTCGCTGCGCGCGCCATTTTACATGCTTAACGAGGAACTCGTTCGCGGAGAACGTGAATTCCTCATCCACTCGCTGTTATTGCTCTGTCTATCTTGAAAGCACTCAAATTATGGAACTTTTTGACCGGGTGAGCAGCTAATGAACCAGAATACACGACTTGGTTCTGAGACGCCTCTAAGATGCCTCGTGACGAACCCGCATTCTCTCTTTTCCGATCTCTCCTGACAGGTCAGCAGCTACCTCGGGCCGTACGAGCTCCCAGATGCGCTGCGGGGATCGCACGTGGTGCTGGTGCTGGCCGGAGTGCCATACCGGTCGTCCATGGGGGACGAGGACCGATTCTGCATGAACGCGGGGATTGTCAGAGGGTTGTGCGAGTCAATTGCCAAGCATAGTCCAGAGGTAAGAGCTTGTGATGTGACATGTCACATGCAATCACCTCCACAGAGCTTGTGATGTGACATGCATAGGGAGGTGTAGTGCTGTGTCGGTCGGTCGTCCACAAAGAACGAGGACCGCTTCTACGTTGCGGGTCAGTAGCCAAGCACAGCCCACAGGTACGGGCTTTGGAAATGCCTCAACACTGCAAGGCGGTACTGACTGTCACTCCAGGCGGTGATCGGGGTGATCCGAACCCCCTCAACGCCACGTCCCTACCCCTCCTTTCTTCACTGATTGAGTCCCCCTTCCCCCTTTTTCACGCCCTCGTCGCTGTCTCCACCACCCCAGGCCGCGATAGGGGTTATCACAAACCCCCTCAACGCCACAGTGCCGATAGCAGCAGAGGTCATGGCAGGAGAAGGCAAGTACGATGCAAGGCGACTGCTGGGCATCACGTCGCTCCCTCTTTCTCCCCTTCCTTTCCATTTCAGATTTAGGCTTCTTCTCCCCTTCCCCACTCCAGGCAGTGATAGGCGTTATCACAAACCCCCTCAACGCCACGGTGCCGATAGCAGCAGAGGCGATGGCGGAAGCAGGCAGGTATGAGGCGAGGCGGCTGCTGGGCATCACGTTGCTGCATGGCGTGCGAGCCAGAGCCCTTCTGGCTGAGGCAACCGGACTGAATGCCACAGGTGAGAGAAAAGAGCAGAAAAAGGGCGTAACACCCTGGATTTTCCAAAAGAACACTCTCAATGATAAAAACACCCTGCGTTGTCAAATACACTCTGAATTCTCAAAACCACCATGATGTAACGAAATCACTCTGGAATGTTCATGGGCGAGCAACAACATGGCTGGTAATGACGTCAGTGCTGGTGGGAGGCAGGGGCCACCATGACTCCACAGGTTTTTGAGTCGACGCAAAAACCGACTCACTACACGTGGGAGGCAGGGGCCACTATGACTCACTACACGTGGGAGGCAGGGGCCACCATGACTCACTACACGTGGGAGGCAGGGGCCACCATGACTCACTACACGTGGGAGGCAGGGGCCACCATGACTCACTACACGTGGGAGGCAGGGGCCACCATGACTCACTACACGTGGGAGGCAGGGGCCACCATGACTCCACGGGTGAGGTGTTGGATTGGGGCCTGCAGAGTTGAAAAGAGTGCTGTTGGAGGCAACAGAGACAACAACACAAAAAGCAAGGCAACACCATAGAGAGACATTTTGAAATTCCTTCCACTCTTCTCATCCATCTCTGTAAGATCTGTCAGTGCCCGTGGTGGGAGGCAACAGAGACAACACCACAGGACCTCTCTTCTTGATATTGATTCGTTTCAAAAGTCTGAACACCACACACCTTCATCCCCTCTTCTCATCCATCTCTTTCAGAGCTGTCAGTACCCGTGGTGGGAGGCAACAGAGACAACACAATAGTCCCTCTCTTCTCGCAGGTGTGTGTATACGTCCTTCCCTGTGCTTCAAGTTCGTGAATCCGATAGTTCCCCTCTGTTTCCCATCACATACCGTCACGTTACCATTCCTCTCCCCCTTGTCTCTGACCATCCTTCATCCCTCCTGCCCCCAGTTTTCATTCTTCTCTCTCTCCTTGTCTCCCTGGATTTTGAATTGGATCAAAGGCCACCTCATTACTCCGTCCGTCCATTCTCCCTCCGTCTGCCCCTGTCCTTTGTCTCTGCCTGTCTCCTCATGTCCCTAGCTCTCACTCACTCCACGCCGTCCCTGGCGTTTCAGTGTGTGTTTTTTGAGAATTCTCAAAAAGCACACCCTGTCCTTTGTCTCTGCCTGTCTCCTCATGTCCCAAGCTCTCACTCCGCGCCATCCCTGGCGTTTCTTTCTACGCGCCTCAAAACTCGCCCCAGGCCACCCCTGGCATTTCCTTGTGTGGGGAGAGAGCAGGTGAAAACAATATTGGTAGCACATAAGAACTTTATTTTGTCCCTCTGTCTCTCTCCTTCTGGCTTTTGAGTCAACCGAATATCGATCCTCTGCCCCTCTGTTCCGTCCTCGCCCAGGCCACTTACATGAGGAGGAGTGTGTGAGGAGGCGGGTGAGGGAAATTTCTGAGGCACACACGCCTCAAAACTTGCTCTCATCTGCCTCGCACCCCCCTCTGTTGCTCTGTCCCACTATCCCCTCATGCAGGCCTCCCCGGCAATTTCCCTGTGAGGGGAGGAGCGCCTGAGGCTGGTGAAGCGGGTGAAGGCTATTCTTGAGAAGCCTCAAAGATTCGCTCTGTCCCTGTGTCCTGCTCTCCCCATATCCCTCTGTCCCCACGCCCAGGCCACCCCGACAGTTTCCCTGTGAGAGGAGGAGCGAGTGAGGCTTGCGAGGCGAGGGGGGGAAGATTGTTTTGGCACCTTATTTACTTCCTCTGTCACTCTGCCCCTCTGCCCCCCCCCCCCACCTCTCTGTTTTTCAACCAGGCCACCCCAGCGGTTTCCCTGCGAGAGGACGAGCGGGTGAGGCTGGTGAGGCGGGTTCGGGCGAGTGGCATGCAGGTGATAACAGCCAAGGACGGCAAGGGCTCGGCCATCATGGCTCCAGCGTACGTCCCCCTCCCTCCCACTTTCCTGAGTTGAATCGAGTGTTGACTGGTGGTTTGACTCGTGGGTTGACCCGTGATTTGCCTTGAAAGCTGGCGAGGGCGAGCGAGTGGCATGCAGGTGATCACAGCCAAGGACGGCAAGGGCTCTGCCATCATGAGTTGGCTCCAGCGTACGTCCCCCTCCCTCTCGATGCCCCTTGTTTGCATTGCCAGAGCCATGTGTGTGTTAACTCATGAGTTGAGCTGACTTGTGGGTTCACATAAAAAAAACTGGTGAGGCGGGTGAGGGCGGGTGGCATGTAGGTTGATCAATGCCCAGTGGCGCAGGCATGATGACACTTACATAATTCTCACACTATAAATGCCAAGGACACACCAACAGTACGTCAAGCATGTTTCTGTCCTGTCCTGTCCTATCTGTATATGTGCTGCCGTCCCGTGCACCTCTCTGCACATGCATTCCTCCCATGTCTCTTGTGTCTTCTTCTGTGGATTTTCATCTTCACACCATTGCCCCCTTTTTTGTTCTGGCTCTGCAGGTTTTGAGTCGACTCAAAATGTGACTTCTTTTGTGGCATTTCAACCTCGTCCCATTGCCGCTTTTTGTTGTTGTGGCTGTGCAGGTTTGCAGCTGCCAGCTTCACGAATTCGCTGCTCAAGGCCCTGAACGGTGAAGCGGTTACGGAGTATGCGTATGTGGCTTCAAGTGTGACAGATGCACCCTTCTTTGCTTCGAAGGTATTGCAGTCCTTGCAGCACTGCAATTGTGGCACTTGGAAACTATATGTTGGAAACTATATGTCGGAAACTAAATGTCAGCACGTCTCACACCGGATGTTACCTCTTCCTCTGCCCCTCTCCTCTCTCCCTCTTCGCGCACACCCTCCCCCCTTCCCTCTTCCTCTCCTCCCCCCCTCACCCCTGCCCCCTTCCTCCCACACCCCCCCAGCATTTTTCTCCTCTTTTAGCTCCCTTCCTCCTTTCTTTCTCTGTGTATCCTTGCATTGCATGGCAAGAGTCTCTCTAATGCTCCATGTGTATCTCTATCCGGATTGCTGTATTGGTTCTATGCAGGTTCAACTTGGTCCCAACGGTGTGGAAAATGTGTTCCCAGTTGGGGACATGAATCCTGGAGAACGGAAAGATATGGAAAGTGCTGTTAGGTTAATAAAAGAAGACGTTGCCAAGGGCATAGCATTCATGTCCACAAGATGAGTTTCATGATGTCCGTTACGATTATTTTTAACAGAAGTCGCGATATCGCGGAAACTAGTTGCCGATTCTTGCCGAGCCACGTGTACAGTCTCAATCTGGAGGTGGATGTGCCTTGCTATTGGTCAAAGCTTCCAATCGGAATATACTAATTCCTGGGCATCTTACAAACGATTTCGTTGGTGAAACGTTGGTATAAGCATCGACGGAAATACCGCTACATGTACACGGCACAGCAAATTCTACTCCATCTGCGAAATTCGTTTCAAAGTTGCCAAATTCAACCAGTACAAAAGGAAATCCTTGCAAGGCTGGCAGGAGTTGCTGCTGAAATGCACTCCCTAGGTGTAAAAATATTCGAGAGAATTTCTCCAGACCCAGAAACGGTGATTTGCCGTTGCACACGTAGCCTTGAATTGCTACCGTGGTCGGACAACTCGATGATAATTGCTCGAGTGGTCTTGCCAGAGGTTTCCTCTGGCATTTTTTTTATCCGGCACATTACCCAAAACCGGTTTTTAGCCCTGAAATTCTTACGTCGAACTTGTCTCTTCCTGCGAAAGTGTGACGCACCCGGAAAGACGTGCACGAGGGCGGCGCCGTCACTGTTCGGATACGCGACAGAATCGGCACGGTAATCTAGGCAAACAGTTGCGCTCAATTTCGGTCCATATCGTAACCAATCCACGCATAGTTATATGATTCCCCGATCATATACTCAGTTGCACAGATGTCAGTACGCGCGACCAATTACAGAGTGCGCTTGATTGGAAGAATTTATGCGTGGGGCCTTTTCTGACCTTGCGCGTCCAATCAGACGCGGTCATGTAAAATTGCGCTCATATAAAACCGCATATTTACCTATATGAGCGCGCATATGTGATGCTCGAATGTGTGTGTGATCTGTTTTATTTATATAAAAACTATGTTAATAAATTAGGGAAACGTTATCACTACCAGCGTTTTGCCATTATACTTATATCAAACTGTGCATACCTATATCGCACAGCGTGATATAGGTATAATGGCAAAATGTCGGCAGTGATAATGTCTCTCAAATTTATTAATATAGTTTTAGATTAATAAAATAGATCATACACACATTCAAGCATCACATATGCGCGCTCATATAGGTAAATATGCGGTTTTATATGAGCGTGATCTTACATGACTGTGTCTGATTGGACGTGCAAGGTCAGAAAAGGCCTCGCGCATAAAGTCGACCAATCAGGCGCACTCTGTAATTGGTCGCGCGTACTGACATCCGTCCAACTGAATATATGATCGTAGAATCATATAACTATGCGCGGATTGGTTACGATATGGACTGAAATTGAGCGCAACTGTTTGCCTAGATGAGTGTGCTGATTTTTGTTGCGTATCCGAATAGTGACGTTGTCGCCCTCGTGCACGTCTTTCCGGGTACGCCACACTTTCGTGGGAAGAGACACGTTCGACGTAAGAATTTAGGGGCTAAAAACCGGTTTTGGGTAATGTGCCGGATTAAAAAAATGCCAGAGGAAACCTCTGGCAAGACCACTCGAGCAATTATCATCGAGTTGTCCGACCACGGTAGCAATTCGAGGCCACGTGTGCAACGGCAAATCACCGTTTCGGGGTCTGAAGAAATTCTCTCAAAATATTCCCTCCAGGTCTCCTGGAGATTCCTTTTCGACGTGTACCAGTCAATCCAAGCCCTCCTTCCCAACCTGTCGCCGTTCTTCCTCGTAACTACTAGCCCCAGACACCCCACTTCGTCAGCAAGCCACGCTCCACGCAACCGCAGCGCATTTGCGAAATCCAATGGAATGGTGGAGATTCCGCTGGTGAACGGGTGCTCCATCAGAGATTCCCTCCAGCGCGGTCCGGACGGAGAAATGATTCCGCGTCCCCATCCTTCGTCTCTCCACTGCCATTCGCTCCTTACTGTGCACCTCCCGCTCCTCACTCGACTCCCCCTCTGCTCACTTCAATTTTCCAACCAGCTCCCGTTTTTCCACGGTTGTTCTGCCATACTGCCTGGCACACCACCTGCCACATTCTTGGCATAAATTTCGCGCCACCAGTTTCCAACTTCGTAAGTGTTTGTTCCAATCCCGTCCTCGTGCACTCGTGCCCTTTCCCCCGATTTCCGCGCTTGTTGGCAGATTCAAAAGCCACGAACTTATCCAAGCAGGTCTCCAACTCTTCGCGCCACTTTAGTCCTTTACTTCAAGGCCAACGAGGCGTTTCTCGTAAGTGTTTAAAAAGTCAGTACCGTTGTCCTCTCGCGTGGACTAGCAGCTTCACGAAGAATTCACTGCTAACCAACATGGCTTCTACGTGTACCGTTGGGTGCGTAACGAACATGGCTTCTCAACTACTCTCACCGCAAGCGGCTTTTCAGCTGCCGTCGAGCTCGCTACACTCAACTCCGCCCGCCCACTCACTCAACCGTTTCGCCTTGCCGTTCGCACCGCTTGGCCAATCACCGTGCTCTCGTTCCCGGCGGCGCCAACGAGCTGCGCCTTCCGCGGTGCACCACTCGCACAACCGCGCGTCGCGTATCGATGAGGGCGCTCAGAAGTGGGGCGGAGTTCTGCGCATTGGCGACGGGAAGAGCGGCGGCGGCGGGGAGTACTCCGCGTGGTCCCCTGTGAAGGTCCCTCCTCGCGTAGCCGCGCCGCCTCCGCGCGCACAACCGACTAAGGCGCAAAGGCAACGCTCCGCCAAGGCGCGTGCGAGCAGCAGAAGCGCGGCTGTGTTGCGCAGAGAGCCCACCGCAATCGCCGTCGCCGTGCCGGTACCGAATGGGTTGTCCGTCGGGCTTGGCGACTCAGTCCGCGAGCCAACCGGGGCTCCGCGTTCCGCGGCAATCGGCGCAAAGAGCATGGCGGAAGCCTTGGAGATTTCCCCCGTGACAGCCGCCGCGATGGTCGCCGCGATCGGCGCATGCGCCGTCGCCGCGCCGTTCGGCCTCGGGTTTCTCTCCGCCGACGCGCCGCTGCAGACAAACGTGTTAGCGTACATCACGGCGATGATCGGGCTCTACATGGCGTGGAACATCGGCGCGAATGACGTGTCGAACGCGATGGGCACGTCCGTCGGGTCGGGCGCGCTGTCGATGCGGACCGCGGTGCTCGTGGCGGGGGTGCTGGAATTTGGTGGCGCGATGCTGGTCGGGGGGCATGTGAGCGACACGATGCAGACTGGGATTATCGACCCAGGGCTATTCGTGAACGATCAACCGCTGCTGTTTACTGGAATGGTCTCGTCGCTCGCCGCCGCCGGCACGTGGCTACAGGTACGGTGCACTTCTTGAACACTTCTCGTCCCCTTTTGCCCCCATCTCTCCTTCCCATCCCACTTAAGAATCAAATCATACGTCGGAAATTGAAAGAAAAAATCCCACAACTTGCCCTGAATAAAGTTTAATAGACAATAAGTTACCTCGATTGCGAAACGCACACTAACCTACCTCCTCTCCCTCCCACATGTCTTCCGCTAGTCTGATTTATCCTAATTCTCGGCTTCCACTCGTGCCCCCTTCTCTCCTTCCTCGCATTGCGTTATTCCAGATCGCGACGCACTTCGGCTGGCCCGTGTCGACCACGCATTGCATCGTCGGCGCGATGGTGGGGTTCGGTTTCATCTACGGCGGCGCGGACGCGGTTTGTTGGGACTCGCTGTCCCATGTGGCCTCCTCCTGGGTGCTCTCGCCTGTGCTCGGAGCTACTGTAGCGTACAGTATCTACACCGCAATTCAGAAATTCGTCTATGAAGCTGATTCGCCCGCCCACGCCGCTTCCAGCGCCGCTCCGTATCTCGTTGGTTTGGGCGTGTTCGCGTTTTCGTTATCCTCGTTATACACTGGAGACGCCGCGTTCGCACCAGCCGCGTTGGAGTCCCTTGCAGCGGGTACAGTGGCCGCGGGTGTAGCATCCCTATTTATGGCGAAACAGGTTGGGAGCCAATTAAAGGAGCTAAGCAAGTCGATTAGCTTGCTAGACGGAAGACAAATGTCTCGGACAGCAGCAGCAGCAGCAACAGCAGGAGGGGCAGGCAAGACGGAACCAAGGGGGGAGCAACAACAAACAGTGTATTCTATTTTCGGGTATCTCCAGGTTCTATCCGCGTGTTTCATGTCGTTCGCTCATGGCTCGAACGACGTCGCGAACGCGATCGGCCCCATCGCTGCTGCGCTCAACATTCTCTCCGCTTCCGCCATTGTCGCTGCCTCCCCTGATGCTGCGGATGCCGCTGTTGCCGCGGCCGCTGCGGCGCCAACCACGCATATTCTCATGTGGGGTGGTTTCGGCATCGTCGCAGGGCTACTCGTGTGTGGTTACCAGGTGATTTCGACAATCGGTGGGAAAATCACCGAAATTACCCCAACTCGTGGGTTCGCAGCTGAATTCGCAGCAGCGTCGGTAGTGGTGCTGGCGTCGCGATTGGGGTTACCAGTTTCCGCGACGCACACGCTGGTGGGAGCGGTGATGGGGGTGGGTCTGGCGCAAGGGGGAAGCGGGGGAGTGCGCGGGGAAGTTTTGGCGGAGATTGCTGCTTCATGGGCGATCACCATTCCCGCGGGCGCAGCTCTCGCTGTGATGTACTCCGCTGTGCTGTCGCAGATTGTGCCAGCTTTCTTCTGAAAGTGTCAAAAGGTTTCTTCTGACCATCAATTTCACGCGATCTCCTAAGGCAGTCAGTTTGTGAATACTCCCTTCTTGGGGTAGTCTTAGGGTTCATCCTTTGACCCATGGAATCTTTCTATGCCTGTGGGAGATATGGTAGGTGGGGCTGTGCTGGTGGGAAGGTTATTGATCGATGGCCTCTCCCCTCTTAGGTCTTACGATTTTGCAGCTTCCAAGTGTGTGTTGCTGACCCTACATGTATTGATTTGATAATAAACACTTGTAATGTGCACTCTTGGTGAAAGTTAGGCAAGCATTCTGAGCACTCTTGATAAGATAGAGCAAAACATAATCTTTTGATCCTATGCACTGTGCTGTTTGCGTTGTAGCAATTGCGATACAATGATTGGTGGAAGCAGCCACGTGGCAATGTGGGGCAGAAGCAGACCAATCAAGAAGCCCGACAATATGCCGTAGGTGCTGCTGATAGGCCATGCCTGATGGATGGGCAGAGAGAGGGGAGGAGGACAAGAGGAGGAAACGGGAGGACAAGAGGAGGTAAGTCTGGCACAGCAGTGGATGGAAGAATATCCTCTCCAGCTAAAAACTGCTTCAGTAGTACTTGCCCAATCCACCTGCTATGGTTGCTCCTGGCTTAGAGGCATGGGCCACGCGCCCATGCACCCATCATGCTCCCATCATGCACCCATGCACCCATCATGCACCCATGCACCCATCATGCTCCCATCATGTACCCATGCACCCATGCAACCGTGCAACCTTGCACTCATACAACATCCACCCGTGCACCCATCAACCCATGCACCCGTGCACCCATGCACACAGGCAACCATGCAACATGCACCCGTACAACCATCATGCACCCATGCACCCACGCAAACATGCACCCACGCAAACATGCACCCACGCACCTGCCCCTTCCCCCACAAACCAACCTGCCATGGCGTTTCCCAGTCCAGGGGCATGGGCCACGCCCCCAGCTCCCCCTGTACCCTGACCCACATAGCCTCCCCCTGTACCCTGACCCACATAGCCTCCCCCTGTACCCTGACCCACATAGCCTCCCCCTGTACCCTGACCCACATAGCTTCCCACTTACCCCACACGCCCACCTGCCACGGCTTCTCCCAGTCCAGGGGCATGGGCCATGCCCTTACCCATGCCCCCACCGTTTGTACCCATGCAACAGTGCAACCATGCACCCATAATGCATCCAATCTCCTTACCCCACAGACCCACCTGCCACGGCTTTTCCCAGTCCAGAAGTATGGGCCATGCCCCCATCATGCACCCATGCCCCTTTCCCTGTACCCTGACCCAACCTATTCCCCATTTCCCCCCATAACCCACCTGCCACGGCTTTTCCCAGTCCAGGGGCATGGGCCATGCCCCCACCCATGCCCCCACCACCGCCCCATGGGCTGACGTCACCACACACGCCTCTGGCAGTGACGCTGGGCTGAATGGGAGAGATGGGGTGGGGAGCGTGGAGGAGGGGAGGGGGGAGGGGAGGGGAATGGGACGAGGAGACAGGCTGAGCGAAGGGGGATAGGTGAGCAGCAGAGGTATGGAATGCAGAATAGTTGGGAAGACAGAATTACCAAAAAAAAAGAAAAAAAAAAAGAGCAGGATAAGCAAAGAAGGGAGACGCTAAGGGAGGAAAAGAGTGGGCAGTCAGTGGGCATGAGGAATGGAATACACTGAGCAATAGCTGCCAGCAGGTACTACTTTATTTTAAGCTGCCCCAAAAGTATGTAACCGCAGAAGAGTGCAAAGGTTTCGAGCCATGGCTGTGAGCCATCATGCACCCATCATGCACCCATACACCCATCGTGCACCCATCATACACCCATCATGCACCCATCATGCACCCATGCACCCATCATGCACCCATGCACCGCTGTCATCTCAGCTTGGTTTGAGGCCATGGCTGGCTGTCACCTGAATTGCAGCAGCACGGATCGCCAGAGGCGTGAGTGGGCCAATCGAACCCCATTTAGAGGTCATGGTTCAATACGTAGGAGCACGCTTGTGTACCTGAATTGCAGCAGCACGGATCGCCAGAGGTGTGAGTGGGAGCCAAAGAGGAGCGCGGAGGGCAGCACCTGAAGGGGAGGGGATAATGGGGACGATGGCAATATGGAGGGGCGATGCCGGGGGACGGGTGAAGGATGATGATTGTTAAGGTTCGAGAGTAACAGAAGGCACGGTTGGTCAGAGGCGTGAGTGGGAGCCAAAGAGGAGCGCGGACGGCAGCAGCTGAAGGGGAGGGGATAATGGGGAGGACACGGAGAGGGGGATGTGGAAGGGCGGATGGGGGATGATGAATGCTGGCTCGAAAATAACGGATTGCGCACATGTTTTTTTAGAATTCTCTGAATTTTATTTCAGATGTACTTGAGAGGCACAGAGGAGAAACGAGGGCAGAACATGAAGGGGATGAACGAATGAGGGTGGAAGGGAAGTAGAGGAATGATGAATGATGGGGAATGCGGGATGGAAAATCAGAAAAACAGGTGCGCAAATGATCAAACATGGAAGTTGAAGGCAAAGAGGAGTGGGGAAGGAAGCACCCGAGGAGGGAAAATGGAGAAGGTCAGAAAGGGGGAGGGGGGGGTGGAGTGGAGAAGGAGGGAAGAGGTGCTGATGTGGCAGGTGATTAACGTGACATGGCAGGTGAGTAACGTGACATGGTAGGTGAGTAACGTGACATGGCAGGTGAGTAACGTGACACAGGTGAGTAACGTGACATGACAGGTGAATGGTGGGAGAGCAATGTGACATGGCAGGAGAGAAATGTGACGTGCGGGAGAGAAATGTGACGTGGCAGGAGAGAAATGCGACGTGGCTGGCTGCAGCACTTACTGTGAGCAGAGAGAGAAGGAAGGACCAGTGGAGTGTGACAGGAACGGACCTGGCAGATGGGAAAGGTAGAGAGAATAATGGAGTACAGAGGGGTGTAATGTGGTGAAGTGGGGTACGCTGACTCACATGGCATGGTTGACTCACATGGCATGCTTGACTCACATGGCATGCTTGACGACGGCTACTAACCGTTAGAACGTACTACAAAAAAAGACGTCTCAAAGCTCGTAATGACTCACTGGAAGGTGGTGGGAGCACCAAAGGCAGTGGCTGCGAGTGCTGCAGCGAAAGCACCTGGTGTGGCGGGTAGAAGTGAGAAGAGAGTAAAAGGGAGGAGGGTGGAAGAGTAAGGGAGGGATGGATTTGAGAAGGTGAACGCACGTGTATTGATGCGACTTTTGAGAAGGTGAACGCACGTGTATTGATGCGACTTTTGAGAAGGTGAACGCACGTGTATTGATGCGACTTTTGAGAAGGTGAACGCACGTGTATTGATGCGAGGATTAAGAGGGGAATGGGAAAGACAAGGAGTGGTAGAAGGATGGAGTAGGGATAAGGGAAGGTAAAAAGGTTATGTACCAAGGCATGTCAGCGCGATGGCGGTGGCGATGTGAACAAGGCGGCGCATGAGTTGACCTCGAGGCTGTATGAGAGGAGAAGGCACAAGCAGCCAAATCATCATACCGCATGAGCTCGTTTCAGAGATGTCATATCACGCCATGGCATGGCACATCATTGCACAGACATACACCGGACGAAATATAGCTGAATGTACATTGAGAGTCAGGACAATTAGGAGAGAAGAACGAAATAGAGCTACCATATTCAGCTTCTGACATGGCGACCCGCTGACATGGTGACATGCTGACATGGCGACAAACGGGCAGAAAAGCACCTGTATGCCTCTGCGTGGTGACTGCGAATGTTGGACAGATAGGGAGGGGCTGAAGGGAGGGAAAGAGAAGAGCATCAGTGCTGCTGGTAAAAATAGAGCCTGTGGCGAGGGGATGGTTGGGAGGGGAGGAGGGGAGAAGGGGAGAGAGGAGAGAGGATGGAGGGAATATGGGAGGGAGGGAGGGAGGGAGGGATACGCTTGTGAAGAGACGATGGGAAGGGAAAAGGTGGTGAGGTGCAGATCAACTCGAGCGACATGAATTACAGGAGATAAACCTTTGTCTTAATTCATTTCAGGCGCGGGAAATGAATTTTGAAGATATGAAAGTGGAATGCAGAAAAGACACGTGAACGTACACAACTGGACTTGATGCACGTCAGCGGCTCACTCGTCAAATCCACTCCCCAGAGCTGACTTGGCAGCACCCACGCTCCAGTTACTATGCTTAGTAGGAGTGCTGACGTGGACAGGACGAGCGACGCTGACGGTGAATAAGGGGATGCGGACTCATCCCGTAGCTTCTTAGCAGTGCCCCTTCGAGCCATCGCCACCGTATCAACGCGGCTCGGAGCGAGTGTCCCAAGGAGATTTCAGAGTTTTCTCCTGCTGGGAACTACTAGTCTGCTTTTGGCGGGAATTTCTGGGTGTGCTGGGCTCATCATGAAATTCTCAAAATCCGCGGTACTTGAATGGGAAGAGGGGTTAGTCGAGGTAGTGCTCGTGTGGGGCTCATACGCGGCTGATTGGGCTTTTCATAGGCACCTCGAAGAAAGGTTCGTGCCACATAGGGAACTCCAGCAAGTGAAACTCTCATTGATGACCCGAAGCTCAGCTTTCATGCGAACACCCCCTAGATCCCAGCCCAACCCTAAAATTCTGATGCACTTCGGTCATCCTGATTGATGCGTCACCCTCACGCTCTCCAGCCTATTGGACACGCCGGACTCCCATTGCCGTTGTCTTGTCACCATCGCCTACCATACCAGCCGCGCTGCGACTCACGCGTGGTGTTATGAGTCGAATTCCGACCGTCGTCAGCGTGACTAATAGCTAGCGTGCTGAATAATGGATAAGCTGGTTCTGGATTCGAGTAAACGTATCTGATTAGCCCGTCGTTGCATGAAGCCGTTGCCCGTTCGAGAGAATGATGAAGCCACCACCGCGAGCAACGAGGAGATCGAGAGCGAAAGCGGAAGAGGAGGAGGGTGCGACGCGTGCCCGTCGTGGATCGGCAATCATCAAGCGAGGAGATTCGAAGGAGGTCGAGGAAGCTAAGTTACGGGCAGGAAGCGATTCGGCCGCAACAGAGTTGAAACGTAGCGACTCCGACTCCGCGAATTCCGAGGGGTCTGACAAGGACGTCACCGATAGGGACGCTCACGGGGACGCTGACGTGGACGTCAATACGGATGCTGACGGGAACTCTGACAGAGACAATGACGTGGGCGCCTATACGGACGCTGACGGGGATGCGGCTGCGCGAGGCGGTGCGGGAGGCATGACGGCGTACGAGCAGCTAAGAGCGGATCGCATGGCGAGAAACGCGGCGCTCCTCGCGGCGCTCGATGTGAGCGCTGCAGCGAGGCGCCTCAAGTCGTCGACCGCGCAGCCGCAACGACGACTTTCGCCCTCTCAAGGTTGTAATACTTGCGAAGGTCATGTCAGAAGTGAGAAGATGATTGTTCTGAGATGTCGATTTTTGAGGGGCCTCAAGAATCGTCTCAAGGTTGTACGATCTGCGTGAATTGAGAAGATGATTGTTCTGTCGCACACTTCCGGTCCTCCCTTCGCACTCGGACTCTGCCACCCAGCTTCCGGAACTTGTCACCCTTCCGATCGTGTCACCACCTCTTGCTGGTCCTTCTTCTCCTTCCTCCGTCTGTAGGTGATAAGTGCTTCTGGGCCCGTCCCATGCCCCCTCTTGGCCGCTCCTGCGTCCTCGCCTACCGGCCAAGAAGCCACGGCCTTCGCCACATTGGTGATATGGTCCTTCACACACTTTCCCTGCCGATTCTGTAGCACCAATACCCCGGAGTCTCTCTTCTCCAGAATCCTCCACCGCTCCCTGCTCAGCCCACATTCCAATGCATCCCTCCTCTGTTCACGGACATAGACCTCGTCTCCCACTTGCGCTTCCTTCAGCCTGCCAGGTTGCTGGTCCTTCCCTTGTTTCCGCTGACTATACCGTCGGGCGTCTCTGATCTGAGCCACCTCCAGGTTCTCCAGGGCAGCTGGCATCACCGTTCGGAGATACTTAGCTCTAGCTGCCGCCACGGCTGCCCACTTCGTCGGGTCTTTGTCATGTATCACCTCTGTCAGAATCTTAGGAGCATCCACGGGTAGGATTGGCTCCTTCCCAAACAGCAACTGATAGGGTGAGTAGTGCTTCAGAGCCTGCTGCTTTCTAAAGCGATACCCTGCCGCTATCCACGGTAGCTGCAAGTCCCAGTCCCTCCTGTCCTCCTCCTCACAGTATTTGCGCAATCCTCTCTTCAATGTTTGCACCATTCTCTCTGTCAGCCCATCCGCCTGCGGGTTGTACCTGGACGTTCTCCGGTGAGTGATGCCCAGCTCTCTGAGTTGCCTGTCGAACTCCCCAGCAAACTCGCTGCCTTGGTCAGTGAGAACCTCTCCACATGCCCCGAACCTACACAACACTTGCTGCACAAAAGCCTCAGCCACTCCTGCTGCAGTTTTCCGAGATAGAGGGGCCACCTCTATCCATTTGCTGGTGTGCTCGATCATCACCAGAATGTATTGATTCCCCCTTCGTGATAGCGGCAGCTCGCCTGCTATGTCCAGGGACCAGCGGTACCCTATGTTTCCGATGGGCAGCGACTTTAGTTCTGCCTTGCTTTTTTCCATGGTAGCTTTGTTTCTGCTGCAGGGCTCGCACGAGGCTAATTCCTGCCGTACCTGAGCCCTCATTCCCATCCACCAGTACATAGTCTGGAGCAGCTGTACTGTCCTCTCTCCTGCAAAGTGTCCCAGTTTCCTGTGCACTTTCAGGATTAGCTCCCTCCTTTCTTCTGGTCGGGGCACTATCCGCCACCCGTCTTCCGTAACCAGCTGCAATTGCTCATCTTGCCAGCGGTAGTGCACTCCCCGCGCCCTGACTCTCGCAGGTACCTCCTCCCCTTCGGGTCCCTCTCCTTTCACCCAGGCCAGCACCTCCTGATCTTCCCATATCTCCCTACTGCCTTTCTCTCCTAGTGACTGTCTCTTCCATCCTTCCTTCTCCGCTGCCACTGCTGAATATACCAATCCGGCTTCCGGCGTCACCCCTCCTTCCTCCTGCCGTGCTGGTCCTTGACGTGATAGCCCATCCACGTGTTGTAGTGTCTTCCCCGGTCGATGTCTCACCTCGAAATCAAACTCTTGGAGGCGCATGGCCCATCTGGCGTTCCTTCCTCTCAGCGTCTGGTTCGTCATTAACCAGAGCAGCGGTTGATGGTCAGTGATCAGGGTAAACTTACGTCCTTGTAAGTACGGTCTGAACAATTCCACGGCCCATACCGCTGCCAGCCCCTCACCCTCGTAAGAGCTGTAATTGCTCTCTGCGGGGCTGCAGGATCGGCTGGCGTATGCCACCACTCTCTCCACTCCCTTCTCTGTTTGGCAGAGCACTGCCCCCAACCCTCCACTGCTCCAATCGGTGTATAGCAGGAAGGGCTCATCTGGCTTGGGTAGTTTCAGCACCGGCGCCGTCTTGACCGCCTCCTTCAACACTTTCCATGCCTCCTCCTGCTCTCTCTTCCACTCCCAGGGCACGTCTTCCCTCAATAGCCAGTTCAAGGGTTTGGCAGTCTTGGAGAAGTTCGGGACAAACTTCCGATAATAGTTCAAGAACCCCAACTGCGCCCTCAAGGTGCTTCGATCTTTTGGGGCTTGGAGCCGGTCTACAACCTCCACTTTAGCCTGCTGCACCGTCATCCCTCCCTCCCCCACCTGAAATCCGAGGTAGGATACTGTCTTCACACCGAACGTGCACTTATCTGGGTGACAAGTCAGCCCCGCTGCTTCTATTGCTGCCAGCGTCTGCTGCACGTCCTTGACGTGCTGCTCACCATCCGGACTGAATATAATCACGTCGTCGATGTAGCATAGGGCACACGGTATCGTCTGCAGCACCTTATCCATGACCCTCTGGAATTTCGCTGAGGCATTTCTCAGTCCGAATGGCATATAGTTCCATTCATATAGCCTGTCAGGGCCGTGGAAGGCGGTCTTATGCTTATCTGCCTCTTTGATGGGGATCTGATTAAAGCCCTGCCTAAGGTCCAGAGTCGAGTAGACTCTACCTTTAGACAGGTCATCAAAGATTTCCTCCACCATGGGCATAGGATACCGGTCTGCCTTGGTAATCCTATTCAGCCCTCGGTAATCCCCGCACATGCGGCGTGCCAACATGACTCCTGTCACGTCCTTCCTCGCAGCTACCACCGTGGCTGCTGCGTACTCTGAGCTGGATTCTCTGATTAGCCCGGCCTCAAGCAATTCCTTGCATTTAGCCTCCGCCACGTCCCGATCTCCCGGATTCATCCTCCGCCTTCTCTGGAACACTGGTTCTTCTGTCTGCAGCTCTATCTCCATCGTCGCAGTCTTACACTTGCCCAGTTCCTTGAGTGAGTGAGCGAAGGCCCCCTTAGCCTTTGTCAGTACCTCTTTCAGTTTCTCCTTTTGGTCAGCGTCCAGTCCTTCCCCCATCACCCATTCTCGTTGTGAACTTTCTCCCTCCTCTCTTCCTTCTTCTGTAGCTGCCTCTTCGTTGCCCCCTTCCTCCATGGTGGCTCTGGCCATCAGGATCATTCCCCGGCTGTTCAACTGCCTCTCCTGCCGTTCACCTTCTGCCGTCTGCTCTGCCGCCATCTGTCTCCACCTTTCGGCCTCTTCTACTGCTCTGTCCGGCTCGGTGTCCAGCATCTCCATGTGATCTCTCCATCGTCTTAACATCAGCAGCTGCAGCCTCATACTCTCATGCCTTTTTTCCGCTCGGTATAGCAGCCATGCCAACGCGTGCTGATCTATGGCTCCTCCTAAGGCTCTCCGGCGGGCCTCCTCTGATACTCCTTCTGCCGCTGTCGCATTCCGTAGGTACCCCATGGCCCTATCCCGCTCCACTGCCAGTGGTTCACCCCATTCTCCTGTCGCAAGCGTCTGGACCATCCCTGGGCCAGGCTGCTCTCCTTGCATTCTGAATGCATAGCTGCCCGGTGTCGCCACCAACGTCGGCCAGGCTTGCCGGGGTGCCCCCACTTGGTTGCAGGGGTACTGAGCCCTCATGTCTGGAACGGTGACTGGCGCCACTCTCCTCCCCGGCTCTAGGATGTCTTGGACTAGCAGCGGCAAGGGTCGTTTCATCCGGCCCAATTGATCCCTTAACACTGGCTCGGGGACCATATTCTGCCAGTACCGCCTCACCCGATGAGCCCTGGCGCCCATTTGCGCTGCATCCCATGCTATCCCATGGCCTAACTCCTTAGTCACCGCTCGATGAGCCTCCCTCACCATTGTTCTTTCATCATCTGCTACGTCCAGGTTCTCAACCACGTATGCGTACGGCCCCTGCTGGTGTTTGATCAATTTCATGATCCGTATCAGCTCCTGAAAGAGCGCACTCCTTGGGTCCTCCGCTCCTCTTCCCCTCCCCGCTCGGGATAGCCCTTGGCACTCCCAGCCTGCTATCAGCAGGTCTACTTGCCCCCAGCTCTCCACCACCTCTCTAGTCACTGCTGTTACGTCATTAAGCTCCTCTGCTTCCCGTTCTGTTTGCTCCACCACCTCCAAAGGCAGCTTATCAGGGAACCGCTCGTGCAGGAGCCTGGCCTGGTGGAACGCCATTCTACGCACCTCTGGGTCCTTCTCTATGTACATCCAGCGGCCCACTGGCAGCCCCAGCCTTACGCACGCGGCCAGCCCCGGCCCAATGCCCCCGAATAGCTCCAATAGGCGTAGAGGCCGATTGAAGGTCTCGAAGTCATACGTAGGCTCCATTAATCCCCTTGCTTCCCTGACCACCTCCACTCTATCTCCGGCTGCCTCTTCTATTCTTCGCCGCTCTCCCATCCTTTCCATGAAGACTCCGACATCTTCAAACCAATTTTCTGGCACCCGCTGATGTGACGGCTCTCGGTACACCACTCGTCCCCTCAGGAACCGTGCAGGCAGCACGGCTGTCGTATCTGCCCTCTGAGAAGCTTCGGGGTCCCAGTACCAGGGCTGGTACGTCACTCTCTCCGTCCACGTATCCACCACGGCTCCCACCTTATACAGTAACTCCATGCCCAACAGGAGATCGTAGTCCTCAGAGTCTGAGACGAGACAGTGTACTCTGATTCGTGTTTCCTCCGCCGTCCCCGGAGATAACACCACTTCCTGCGGGCGTACGTCTTCGGGAGCCACTTCCCTTCTCCCCCTTCTGCCGTTTGAATGCGTGTTCCTTCCGGAGTCACGTTCTATGGGCGGTGCAGTCCCAGCCGCTCAGCCAAGCGTCTCCCCACCAAGACTTGTGAGGCTCCCGTGTCTATAATGGTGGTGCCTGGGTACTTTCCTTCCACCGCCACTGCTCCTTCTTCTGCTTCCACCACGCATGGGCGGGAGGCCATCCTCTCGTGTGGATGCCGCAGTGGTCCTGGCCCTCCTCTGGCTCTCCTCACTGCTTGTTCTGCAGCCTCCACCGACTGCTCTCGCCTCTGTTCTGCTTCCAGCCTGGGTCCTCTCCTGCTCTGCCCGACCGTGCGGCGCCCGTCCGCCCCTCCACTCCGCAGCCCCATGTCCTCTCGGCCCCTGTTGCCCTCCGATGCCATGAAGAAAGGCTCGGGGCCCTCCTCCTCTGAATCAGATGGTGGCTTGGCCATGTGTGTCGACAGATCCTCCTCTTCTTCCACCGCCTCTTCTTCCGCCTTGAGCTTCCTTAATTCTTCCTCCAGTGCCTCGATCCGGCTCTTCCTTCCTCCCCGCGTCTGCTGCTCCCTCTGCTTAGTGTAACAGTTGTCTGCCACATGTCCCTTGCGCCGGCAGTAGGTGCATGTCTGCAGCTTGGGGCAGTCACGTTTGAAGTGACCCGGTTCCCTGCACTTAAAGCACACCGGCTCCTCTCCCGCAAGCGGCGGCGTCACACTCCTTCCTCTTCTGGGCTTGTTAGTCTTCTCTGACTTCCTTGCCTGCTCCTCCGCATCTGACTCACTGTCCGCCAGCAGCACGCCACCCCACGCCACGCCTCTCCTGTCTCGGTCCCTTGTAGGCCTCTCGGCCCTTCTCCCCATATCATACAGGCTCAGGGACTGCTCGTGACGCCACGCGATCTCATATGCCTGCCTTAGCGTTGCATTAGGCCCCAGATCGTAGGTGCGGTCTCTCACTGTCCTCGCTAGCTCTCCAGACAACCCATCCAGAAATTTTGCGACGATGATCCGTGGCTCGCTGCAGCCTATATCCTCCGCCAGCTGATCCACCCTCCGATAATACGCCAGCAACGACTCCTTGGAGGCTCGTCGCACTTGCTCGAACTCCCTCATCCTCGCGGGAGTCTGCGTCGGGAAGTGGGTCTGAAGCTCCTCCAAGAATCGCTCCGTCGGATCACGCAGCCTCAAAATCCGCCCTTCTTCGTCGCGGCACAACCTCCCGCTCTTATCCCGCTCCTCCTCTTGCAACAGGAGATCCCTGACCTCGAGGAAAAACGCTTCCGCCTCGCCTGCGAGCGTGTTTCCGAGCGAGCGGAAGAAGTGCCTCAGATCCAAGCCGTCCATCTCCCAGCAGTACTTCTCGCTCCGTACATGCATCGCGTAGGTCTTGAAGCGCGGACCCGCCTCTTGGTCCCCAGTAAACCGACTCGGCACCTCCACCTTCGGGAGACTCGTGTACCGATATCGATTGCCTTCTTCCCCAAGCGATCTCCGCTCTGTTCCGCCAGCAGTTATCCTTCCCGCCCCGGCCGATTCTCGAAACTCCCTGGATCCCGGCCGCGGTGATACCGATCTGTTCTCCGATCGCCTTTCTGCCCTCATGGCGAAGCCTTCGGACACACGCGTTCTCTCTCGGCGCTCCGCGGAATCTTCCCGAGACTCCTTCTCGCGGCGATCCTCGCTCCGCCCTTCCCGGCTGGCCTCCGGCTCCTTCTCATCCATATCCTCCCCCGTCCTGGCTGAAGGCTGACTGCCTTCCGCAACCGACGGGACTTCTCCTGCAGGCAGCTTCGTGCCACTGCGCAGCGACATCCCTGACATCGCTCAGACTCTTGCTTGTAAGAAGGCGCTCGGAATTACTCTTCAAGCCCCAATCTCTTCTCTCAGCGTCTAGCTTAACCGCTCGTCGCTTGGCTTCTCAATCGCAGATCTAGTCGTAAAGCAGTGAGAATCCTTCATTCACTAGCAAGCATACAGACTTTCCCACGAGTTCAAGAAGACAAGCAAGAGTGGCAGCTCAGGTTCCCTACCTAGGCTTATCACTCCCTTCCCGTAGGGTCCCTTCTCCTCCTGGGCTGCTACCCCTGCTCAGCATCGAGATCTACTCCGAAGCGCGCGAACCTCTTCCACCCTTGGACATTTCTCGTGACCCCTCCCCCGAGTCGCTCCAGTCAGCTTCGACCCAATCTTGCGTCACTTGGGCGTTGGGTTACTCACCCTCGACCCTCGTGGCTGTTTTTACTGTATATATTCCTCCCGTCTACAGTACACCCGAATGATCACATTTGTCACCCTTATCTATTTCCTGTCCATACACTGGTCATGTTTTACCTTTAGAGCTGTCCCATGAATCCTTTGATGCGTGTTTCATCAGGAGTCATGCGACAGTTCTGAGATGTCGATTTTTGAGGCGCCTCAAGAATCGTCTCAAGGTTTTACCATCTGCGTGAATTGAGAAGATGATTGTTCTGAGATGTCGCGGAACAAGCTTAGTTTCTCAAGGTCATTCCGTGTTCAGACAAGGGGCGTTGGTGGTGGTGGTGGCAGGGACAAGGGGGTGGCAGGGACAAGGGGGTGGCAGGGACAAGGGGGTGGCAGGGACAAGGGGGTGGCGGTGACAAGGGGGTGGCAGGGACAAGGGGGTGGCAGGGACAAGGGGGTGGCGGTGACAAGGGGGTGGCAGGAACAAGGGGGTGGCGGTGACAAGGTCAGGGGCGTGGTTCATACTTGGTTCCTGTTCCGTGCCTGCTCACCAGCTCATCATGCTCTCTCTTTTACAAGCACTCGGCGGTCGTTCCGTGTTCAAACAAGGGCAGCAACAGGAGGAGGCCGTGGTGGTGGTGGTGGTGGTGACGGCGGCGGCGGCTGCGGCGGCGGCGGCGGCGGCTGCTGCAGCGGCGGCGGTGGTGGTGGTGGTGGTGGCGGCGGAGGCGGCGGCGGTGGTGGTGGTGGTGGTGGTGGTGGTGGTGGTGGTGGTGGTGGTGGTGGTGGTGGTGGTGGTGGTGGTAGGGGCAAGGGCAGCGGGGTGGCTCATACCTTCTTTGTTTGTGTCCCATGCCTGCTCATCATTCTCTCACATTCAGGCACTCGGCGGTCGTTCCGTGTTCAGACAAGGACAGCGGGAGGAGGCGGCCGTGGTGGCGGGGGTGGCAAGGGCAAGGGGGGAGATGAGATGGGGGAAGAGGAGGAGGAGGAGGAGGAGGAGGACGGGGATGAGGGAGAGGAGGAGGAGGAATTGGGGAAAGACGGCGAGTATATCCCGGATGCGATTGCAGATGATGATGATGAGGAGGAGGAGGAGGATGAAAGGGGTGAGGGAGAGGAGGAGGGGGAGGAGGATGGGGAAGATGAGGAGATGGAGGGTGGGAAGGGTGGCGGCGATGGTGGCAGCAGTGGGAGGAGGAGAGGACGGCATTCGGGGAAACGCGGTGCAGAAAAGCAGCAGCAGGGGGGGAGCAAGCGGGGGAGGGGGATGGAGGAGTTGGGAGCGGTTGGAGCTGGTGACGAGGACGAGGAGCTACAGATGGTGAGCGGGCTCCTGAGATGGTTGCGTCGTCAAGAGGCGTTTTCCTTGTGAGGCAATTATTCCCAGAAATTTGAGTCAACTCAAAATATATTCAAGATTACTGCCTGATAGCGGATGACTACAGATGGTGTTTTGCAGGCTTTTTTAGGCGCATGAAGACTTGGCTGCTGCAGTTGGTGTTGTGTACTTTGTTTCGTCAGGTTGCATTGCATGCATGCATGCATGCATGCTGGGTGATGCTGCTGCACTGTAACTTTTGAGTCGACTCAAAAGTCACCTTGGTTGTATGCATGCTGGATGATGCTGCTGCACTGTAAGGTCAAACACCTATTGGGTTTCACACTGGCTTGCGTGCATGCATGCTGCATGCTGCATCATGCATGATGCTCCAATCTGTGAATCTGCCATGCCAAACGCTGAAGTATCCAGACACTTCAGCTCCGGGCGTGTTTCCAAAGTATCCATGTTATGCCATGAAAGTTGGGTGCCACTTTTGTGGGCGGTGCCACTTCTGTGGGCGGTGCCATGCCAGACCCAACACACGCACGCAGTTCACTGCCCCCAATTTTGAGATGCCTCAAGATCTCACTCATTTCACGTGCCCAACACACGCACACTGTTCACTGCCCCCAATTCTGAGATGCCTCAAGATCTCACTCATTTCACGCGCCCAACACAGGCACACAGTTCACTGCCCCCAATTTGTGCTTCTCTCTGTCCCTGCTACTGCCTCTGTCCCTCTCCACCACCCCTCTCCACCTCTCTCTGCCTCTCGCTGCCCCTCTCTGCACCTCGCTCTGCCTCTCTGCCTATTTCTACCTACCTCTGTCTACCTCTGTCCACCTCTCTCCACCCATCTCCTCTTTTCTCCACCTCTCTCTGCCTCAGGCTATCGCCCTGTCTCTCTCTTTGACTGGAGGGGATGGAAGAGGAGGAGGAGAGAAGGGTGGAGGAGGAGAGGGAGGAAGGAGGGGTGGAGGCGGAGGAGGAGAGAAGGGAGGAGGAGAGGGAGGAGGGAGGGGTGGAGGCGGAGGAGGAGAGAAGGGAGGAGGAGAGGGAGGAGGGAGGGGTGGAGGCGATGAGAGTGATGCGGGCAGAGGCAGAGACAGGAGAGGGAAGATCAAGGTGCGTTGAGTGTTGAGAGAATGGGGTGGGGGTGTTGAGAGTGTGGGAGTGTTGAGAGAATGGGGGTGTTGAGAGTGTGGGAGTGTTGAGAGAATGGGGGTGTTGAGAGTGTGGGAGTGTTGAGAGAATGGGGGTGTTGAGAGAATGGGGGTGTTGAGAGAATGGGGGTGTTGAGAGAATGGGGGTGTTGAGAGTGTGGGAGTGTTGAGAGAATGGGGGTGTTGAGAGAATGGGGGTGTTGAGTTGAGAGAATGGGGGTGTTGAGAGAATGGGGGTGTTGAGAGAATGGGGGTGTTGAGAGAATGGGGGTGTTGAGAGTGTGGGGGTGTTGAGAGAATGGGGGTGTTGAGAGAATGGGGGTGTTGAGAGAATGGGGGTGTTGAGAGTGTGGGAGTGTTGAGAGAATGGGGGTGTTGAGAGAATGGGGGTGTTGAGAGTGTGGGAGTGTTGAGAGAACGGGGGTGTTGAGAGAATGGGAGTGTTGAGAGTGTGGGAGTGTTGAGAGAATGGGGGTGTTGAGAGAATGGGGGTGTTGAGAGAATGGGGGTGTTGAGAGTGTGGGAGTGTTGAGAAGGTGGGAGTCCCAAGCTGAGAAGCCTTTCAAAAGCCTTGTGAGACGTAGAGATGGTATGTCACCTTCTCCTTCTGTTTGGCAGGCAAAGCGGCATCAAAGCCTTTTGAGGAAGCTTACTGACTGTGAAGCCAACTCCTTCATTCACTCACTCACTCACTTACCCACTCCCTCACTCGCTCAGTCATTCACCCACTCAGTTCCTCACTCACTCAGTCACTCACTCACTCACGCACTCCCTCACTCCCTCACTCACTCACTCACTCCCTCACTCACTCCCTCACTCACCCTCACTCCCCCACTCCCTCCCTCACTCCCTCTCTCACTCCTTCCTTGCAGACAAACCGGCGTAGGAGCCCGTTAAGGAAGCTCACTGATTCTGATACCGACTCGCTCACTCACGCAGTCACTTCCTCTCACTCCCTCTCACTCCCTCTCTCACCTCCGTTTTCACTCCTTACTGGCAGGCAAAGCGGCGTAGGAGCCCGTTGAGGAAGCTTACTGACTCGGAAGCTGACTCGCTCTACTTCACTCTCGATTGTATGTGTGTGCTTCCTGCTATTTCAGAACACATGAGCATATTCCTGCAATTTCAGAACACATGAGCATATTCCTGCAATTTCAGAACACATGAGCATATTCCTGCAATTTCAGAACACATGAGCATATGAGCACTTCCTGTTATTTCAATCTAGATGGTGTGTGTGAGCGAGAGATCTTCCTGTTATTTGAGAACGCACGTGCACGCACTGTGTGTGCGCACACACAGCCGACTCGCTCCACTTCAATCGCAATGGTTTGTGTGTGTGAGGTGCTGTTATTTCAGAACACGTGTGACGTGACCCATGTGAAAAAAGAAGTGTTTTGAGACGTCTCAAAACATGTGACGTGACCCATGCACGAGCAATGGGCATATACGCGGTCACGTCACACCTTTCGCTCTACTTCACTCTCGATGGTGTGTGTGCGAGAGAGAAAGCCGTCTTCTTTCATGACTTGACTCACACCACATGTATGCACACACGCACACGCAGGTGTGTTTTGAGTCGACTCAAAACACATCTTTCATGACTTCACTCACACCACATGTATGCACACACGCACGCACAGACACGCACGTATTTATGTGCCGTGCACGAAAGCACTCGCACGTGTGCTTCACGTGTGCACTCGCACACACACAACTCACAGACTCCGAGGCCGGCTTGCTCTGCTGCTCTCTCGATGGTGTGTGTGACACTGAGAGAGAGCTCTCCTAGCACATGAATACGCACAAGGCACACAGGCATGCATACGCTTGTGCGCGCCCACACAGCAACACACAACGAAACACGCTTATGCGCACACACACATGAAGCGGACGGACACGCCCATTCCACTGTCCACAGGCATTCCAGCAGCTCACATCGCCAGGCTGGCAGCACTGCACTCTTCGATCCGATCCTGGCAATTACGGTTTTTTAGGCGCCTCAAAAATCACAGAGAGACATGTTTGTGCGCACGCACACATCAAGGGGACACGCCCATTCTACTGCTGGTAACAGCTGCTGATATCGCCAGGCTGGCAGCACTGCACTCCATAATCCGATCCGATCCGATCCGATCCGATCCTGGCAAATTCATTTCCACTCTCATCTGTGTCTGCCTGTCCCTCGTCCTTCTTCAACCCACCTCTCTCCCCCATTCAACCGCCCCCAACCATTCTATAATCAATCCAGCCAATGGCGAGGGGCGCATAACAGTAGCTGACATTGCCAGGCTGGCAGCAGTGCACTCTTTGATCCAGGCAAAGTCATTTCCACTTTCACCGTTCCCACCTCTCAACTCCTCTCAACAACTCTCGACCCCCCTGAACCCCTTGGCCCAACACTCATCCTACCCAGCCAGTAGTGAGGGCCGCATAACAGCAGCTGACATCGCAAGCTGGCAGCAATACACTCTTTTCTCAAGGCAAAGTCAATTCCACTTGCATTCCTCAACCGTCCTCAATCCCCTGGGCCCCCAATCCAGCCAACGGTGAGGGGCTCATAACAGCAGCTGACGTCGCCAGGCTGGCAGCAGTGCACTCTTTCCTGTGGAGCGAGCAGCAGATGGAGGACATGGTCTCACTCTTCAGCCAATCACAGGTGACTTCTGACGGCCTTTGAATCGAGTCAACTGGCATCCTGTGGAGCGAGCAGCAGATGGAGGACATGATCACGCTCTTCAGCCAATCACAGGTGGGTTTTGACCTCTGGATCGAGTCAAGAGTCGTTTTGTGACGCGAGCAGCAGACAGAGAACATGGTCTCACTCTTCAGCCAATCACAGGTGACTTTTGACGGCCTTTGAATCGAGTCAACTGGCATCCTGTGGAGCGAGCAGCAGATGGAGGACATGATCACGCTCTTCAGCCAATCACAGGTGGGCTTTGACCTCTGGATCGAGTCAAGAGTCGTTTTGTGACGCGAGCAGCAGACAGAGGACATGATTACGCTCTTCAGCCAATCACAGGTGACTTTTGACGGCCTTTGAATCGAGTCAACTGGCATCCTGTGGAGCGAGCAGCAGATGGAGGACATGATCACGCTCTTCAGCCAATCACAGGTGGGCTTTGACCTCTGGATCGAGTCAAGAGTCGTTTTGTGACGCGAGCAGCAGACAGAGGACATGATTACGCTCTTCAGCCAATCACAGGTGACTTTTGACAGCCTTTGAATCGAGTCAACTGGCATCCTGTGGAGCGAGCAGCAGATGGAGGACATGATCACGCTCTTCAGCCAATCACAGGTGGGTTTTGACCTCTGGATCGAGTCAAGAGTCGTTTTGTGACGCGAGCAGCAGACAGAGAACATGGTCTCACTCTTCAGCCAATCACAGGTGACTTTTGACGGCCTTTGAATCGAGTCAACTGGCATCTTGTGGAGCGAGCAGCAGATGGAGGACATGATCACGCTCTTCTGCCAATCACAGGTGGGCTTTGACCTCAGGATCGAGTCAAGAGTCGTTTTGTGACGCGAGCAGCAGACAGAGGACATGATTACGCTCTTCAGCCAATCACAGGTGACTTTTGACGGCCTTTGAATCGAGTCAACTGGCATCCTGTGGAGCGAGCAGCAGATGGAGGACATGATCACGCTCTTCAGCCAATCACAGGTGGGTTTTGACCTCTGGATCGAGTCAAGAGTCGTTTTGTGACGCGAGCAGCAGACAGAGAACATGGTCTCACTCTTCAGCCAATCACAGGTGACTTTTGACAGCCTTTGAATCGAGTCAACTGGCATCCTGTGGAGCGAGCAGCAGATGGAGGACATGATCACGCTCTTCTGCCAATCACAGGTGGGTTTTGACCTCTGGATCGAGTCAAGAGTCGTTTTGTGACGCGAGCAGCAGACAGAGAACATGGTCTCACTCTTCAGCCAATCACAGGTGACTTTTGACGGCCTTTGAATCGAGTCAACTGGCATCTTGTGGAGCGAGCAGCAGATGGAGGACATGATCACGCTCTTCTGCCAATCACAGGTGGGCTTTGACCTCTGGATCGAGTCAAGAGTCGTTTTGTGACGCGAGCAGCAGACAGAGGACATGATTACGCTCTTCAGCCAATCACAGGTGACTTTTGACGGCCTTTGAATCGAGTCAACTGGCATCCTGTGGAGCGAGCAGCAGATGGAGGACATGATCACGCTCTTCAGCCAATCACAGGTGGGTTTTGACCTCTGGATCGAGTCAAGAGTCGTTTTGTGACGCGAGCAGCAGACAGAGAACATGGTCTCACTCTTCAGCCAATCACAGGTGACTTTTGACGGCCTTTGAATCGAGTCAACTGGCATCCTGTGGAGCGAGCAGCAGATGGAGGACATGATCACGCTCTTCAGCCAATCACAGGTGGGTTTTGACCTCTGGATCGAGTCAAGAGTCGTTTTGTGACGCGAGCAGTAGACGGAGGACATGATTACGCTCTTCAGCCAATCACAGGTGACTTTAGACGGCCTTTGAATCGAGTCAACTGGCATCCTGTGGAGCGAGCAGCAGATGGAGGACATGATCACGCTCTTCAGCCAATCACAGGTGGGTTTTGACCTCTGGATCGAGTCAAGAGTCGTTTTGTGACGCGAGCAGCAGACAGAGGACATGGTCACGCTCTTCAGCCAATCGCATGTGCGCTTTGGATTCTGAGTTGATCACGTTCCAGGCACAAATTCAGGTCCCTGGAATTGAGAAAGCTTTTTTTGACGTACTGATTTTCATTTGTTGGTGTTATACATCAATACATCACACCTGTGTTTTGTTTGTTAACCTTTCTCGCATCGCATTCCTTTTTGCTTCTGTTGTGGCAAGTGCCAGTTGTGGGTCTCGCATCAAATACGTTACATGCTTTCTTCTACCGAGAAAGAACATGAAATAGCTCATACCCTATCAAACGTGCCGTCAATTCCTTGCAGGGCAACGGGATGGGA